AAGGAACTGCTCTAGTTTCAATTTCCAATAATAATTTTTGCCTTAGTTTACATCTTCTGATCCTTACTAATTTAGCAGACCTTGGCATTGTAAAGCTCCCAGGCCACATACAGCTCTTTGGTTGACTCCGTTTAAGATCATTTGGAATGACAAAATAAATATATTTTATCATTTTACCTCATGCATCGACTACAGCTGCATTGCTTTTACGTTCTTTTTAAATGAAATTTTTTGTAAGGCTACGTCACTTTTTTCATTGCTTAGTTTTAATATATATTCTTACCAGTCTTACCAGCTTGTTAAAACAATGCTATTTACTGATTTTTATAAATACAATTAATATTATGCAGAATTAAGCTAAGCATTTTGGCCCAGCCCTACACAATATTTTCTGTTTCTCATGTGACATAGAAAAAATAATTGCCCACCCGATTTAGCATCTAGATAATATATACCAAGTTTCACATAGAACACAGCAAAGTTGAAATTTCCCCACGCCAGTCTTACAAGACCACAATATTCTAGTTATTTACACAATTACCTTGAAGTAAATTGCTTAAAGCTCAACCCAATGGGCACAAAAATCAAAGAGTGAAAAAAGAAAAGAGTCAAACAGAGGTGGTTTTCAATCAAGCTTTTAATGAAAAGATCATAAAATAACAGTTTATTTTTCCTCACGGCTGTACATTAAGACTGCAAGGTTGTGAGTGCTGAGGTCAGCTGTATTACACTTTTATGACACTTTGAGTTTGCGAGCCCCATTGACGGTGGCTCTGACCTGAATTTGAGCTCTCTGAGGAGTGGAGATAGAGAGCTCAGCCTGGGTGCTGCCATGAGCTGCCAAAGTAAAGGACCAACATGTCACAGAATTCTGGCTGCATGTTGGTGAGCTGCTGTTTGAAGTCTTGACAAGTGCATGTGTGTATTTGCATTAGTGAGCAGTGGGTGCATATAGGCAGCAGAAATCTACCTGGGTGTGTATACCTTTGCATGTTAGATGTGTGTTTGCCAAGGGGGAGGGCTACTAGGCCTTTAATTATTCATCTGCAAAGACTCTGCATGTCCGTCCTGCGATCCTCTTAGCCCACAGATCCTAATACATTATTAAGAGGCAGTTTCTGGAGGAAATGTGTAGGCCTGTGACGACTGGCAAACCCAACTATGAAACTCCCTGGCAAACTTTGAATGTAAGGCAGGTGAATGGCTTACTGCATTGTGGTCAGGAATGGACGGCAGAACACTAAAGACATGAAATGATGTAGCAAAATAATGCACAGCTGTAAATGCTGAAGTTTCCGAAAATGAGGTAATTTGGTGCTTTTTGTAGTAATCACTGAAGGTACAGTATTAAATACTAAAATGCAGACATCAAAGGACTATGGCAGGGGTCACGGTGAACAACTATAAAGCTTGTGATTAAATGGCACCAGAGGCCATTTAGAAGTGCCTTTGGTTTTGCCTGTTGAGGTAAGAAGCATGCAACTCCATGTAACTGGTGAGAACAGGCCCTCCACTACACACCAGAACACACTGGGAGGTCTGACTACAACACTAGTAACAGAGCAGTAGATACTTCAATACTCAAGCCCACACAAAGGACCGTTTCCGTCTTAAAGCTTTTGTAACACTGAATAATGATGTGATCATACACTGAACACATGACAAAGATGAGGTAAGAGAAGGATAGTAAACTGTTAATGGGAAGTGATATGAAAGCATACGGGTCTTTCTTCCCAGTGGTTTTGAAAAAATATACAAAGTGCACTTAGTAAAGCTATGTTTCCATAAGTTCCATATATGGAATAACAGACTAAAAGTAAACATAAAAGATGTGATGTTTAGACAGGCATGTAACAGTATGTAGGTATTGATGTGGTGAATGTTTTTAAATCTTATTCATTTATAAAACGTAGCAGAATGGCAACACCCAGGAAGAGCACAATGAAAAGATACAGTAGCCTCCATGCTGCACAGGCAGGTCACAGTGTCCTGTCTGTGTCCATGGATACACACAGGGGTCAAAGATCAACCCCCCTGCTTCACATTCAGCTAGAACTCAAAAACAAATGGGCACAAAAACACCCATATTGTGACAGATACAACTGAGAAGGTTGATATTAAAATGCCATAGACCATAATCATGGTGTTGGAAAGAAAACACACAAAAGTGTCACCTTCACAGATTGTGGTTAATGGCTATGTTTTGTATCGCATTTTGATTCTCAGCTTGAAATCCTCAAAACAAAAAAATAAAAATAAAATAGGGGTCCTGCCTCCACCTCAGTCTCACACACTGAGTAAAATCTTTGAAGAGGTGAATTCAGGACCAGAAATAAATACATTCATCACTGACAATAGACATTTGATAAAAAAACAACACTGTCATTAAGTGTTTGCACCAACTTGGTATCAAAGAAGCCAGGCCAGCCAGAGGTTTGTGCCATGTTAGCCACAGTCGGCTCAAGTATCTGCAAAAATTATACAAGTAGATAAAAACAAATAACATTCACAGTAAGACTAGCAGTTACTTGTCTTTAGACCTGACCAAAAAACTACATTCACCAGGTTTAAAAAGCGCCAACATCTGAGACTAGATGATAAGCTCTTGGTTCAACCAAATAACACTCCAAGCAGCAGAGTTAGTTCTCAAGTGCATTTGGGAAACACACAGAGGTCTCACAAACAATGCCTTTTGATTAATACATCAAGGACACACTGCCCACCCCCACCACTGGGTCTCATCACAAGACAGGCCAGAGGGCAAGGGGACTGGGACATGGGGTCACCCGCCCCACAGCCAGCTGGCATTAAACCACACCGCCTCCTTACTAATGAATATTCAGTTCAGCCCATCTTTGAAGTGACGCTTTTTAAATATTTGGCAGCAACCTCTTATAATGCTCTTAAGAAACACAGTTTCTCTGACTGGCCAAGCCTCCAATGAGGTCTGTAAAACTGTAAGTTTGTAAACAATGAGATAAATACATGTTTCTTTTTAGAGCCACACACGGTTCCATAGTCATTCAAATGTGCTTTGGTTTAAAAAATAGAGTTTGTGAATTTGGGTATGAGCTTTTTTTGTATCAGTTCTTTGTACAACTTTGCAACTATTGAAAACATATGGTCATTAACAAAAATGTTGACTAGTTTGAGCTGCCTCGCCTTTGCCAAGGCTCTTTGTGTTAGTTGAAAAAAGTACCCCCCAGTAAGCTTTTTTTTTTTTTTTAAATATGAAACTAGTGTTTTGCTTTTCCCATTGTCAAAATACAGACAAATTGATACAATACTATGTCTTACAAATGTAGCTGAGAGTCTGCATTCACAGATGCAGAACAATCCCTGAAGTATTCGAGTAGTAGTACTAGCAGTAATAGTAGTATGGTCACAGTTTGGAGTTTCTCATTTAACAAGCAGGCATAAAAATGTAGCTGCAAAATTGTTTGCAGACATGGCTAGAGAATATTGTTGTACAAATACACCTTTTGCATGACATTCTGCTGTACTGCAGTAAGTGCTGACAAGTACAATAATTTGAAGGCAATGCATTGTAGACTCCCTCTTTAATCAGAAGGGGTCACAAGCAACAATGGGTTATATGCTTTAGGATGTAAAGGGTGTGTGGGAAAAGCATGTACCATGCAATCACTAAACTGCTCGACAGCAAGACACCAATATTCAGCAGAAGCAAGTAACAACTCCAGGAGTTCAGGACGCAGGTACCTTAAAATGCTTGATAAGTGGAGCTGCATCCCTAAGAACAAACAATTCACAGACCATAACATGAGGACAAAAGAGAAATATAAACCAAAAGGATAAACCAATACAATAGAGGAATGCCTATATATCAAAAACTTGTAGCGAAGGTTCATGCTGCACAGTGTAACTGTTTAAAGCCTGGACACACTGGACAATTATGAAACTCACGGGCAGGATTCAAACTAATCATTGTTTATCTTTGCTTAAATTTTAGTAAAGCTTTTGTGGTCTCAGTGGGTAATTTCATTTATATAGGAATAATCAGAATAAGAACAGTGCAGCCAGCCCTTGAGTTATCCAGCTGTCCAGTGCATTTCAACTTCTCCCTTCTAAGTACAAGTTTTCATAATTCTGGCTCAAAGACTAACAAGCAACTTTAACTTCACATTTAAAAATCTGATTATAATTCCTATCTTTTTCTTTTCTTTTTGGTCTGAACAGAGCACATACAATTTTGTCAAGTCCTGTCATTAAAGTCAGGGAATATAAAGTGATAAGGACTCTAGATATAAATCAAAACATGTTTTAAACTTTACCTTTTGTAAAGTTTATACCAGCCCACCAATCAGCACAAGCTTTCCTTCCTCATTCACTGGCTAGTATGAGAGTTTCTTTGTCATTAGAATATAATATTTTTATACAGCAAAATAAAAGTGAAATAATTTAGTATGCTATATATCTTAAGTACATCTTTAAAACAAAAAAAAACAAAAACTTTGGTTATGAACTTCTAGCAATGTGTTAGTTAGCTTTGTTCTCCTTGACATTCAAAAGATCTTTGGAACACTTATCTCTACCAACTAACAATTGGCTCCAGTCAGAAGCTACAGTACACTTTGAAGAGGAGCCGCATTGAGAAGAGGCCCCAAAGCTAAATTTAACATGTGAAAAAACTGCTAGAAATAAGACAATTTGTAAGATCTCAGGAGCATTCAAAACCTGTGTTGAGAGATGGGCAGGTTAAAGCATCAGGTGAGAAGTTACCAATAATCTACACACTTTATACAATAATTACATAGGAACTTTCAACTAAACAACATAGAGTTTGTAAAAGAGTATCAGAGGTAGCAAAGTCAAAAGTCTAATCAAATAGACTTTTCTTTTTCTGAGGGGAGGAAAGCTATACAGTCAAGAATAAAATAAAATTAAAATGTACCGACTGAACAGAGTTCAGACTAACACACCCTCTTCTGACCAATTCAATAAACTAAACACCCAGCCCACCCAGCCCAAAGTCCCTCCCCTCTACAAGAAAAATCCCAAGACTTTCCAGTTTAAACATTCACTGAAACATTACAAGTTCTTTAAGTAAAACATGTACCGCTTACCAGGACATCCCTCCTGGGTGTACAAGCAGGCAAAAATAACCACCTTCCATGGACAGCTGTAGAGATGTATTGTAATTCTTGACCAAACAAATATTATTAAATGTCATACCACCTTGTTTCTGGGTTATCTTTTAAAGCAAGGAGATGGTCCCAAACCCAGTTACCCACCACCATCAAAAGATATAAAGCTGTCATTCTAAAAACCAACTTTGATAAATTATTGCCAGTATAGTTTGCAAAGGTTTTTTGGTCAAAGTAGCACTGAAATACAGACAGTACTTTAAATCTGAATGTTAAGGAAACAGTTGAAAAAGTTGTATAGGTGACTGGTTGACAAGGGGTATAAAGGGGAGTCTTTTATATCAGAACCCACATTCACATTTTGAACTGTAGCAGTGATACCCCCTACTTGTGGCTACATGACTTTGTAGAGAGACAGTCCCTCCAACTCCTGAGAGGTGAGCAGACATCACTTAACAGGACTTCAGCATCCACAAGAGCCAACCAGCTGTGGCTAAAGACGCTTTGTTGTTCACTTAACCTAGTTATTGTAAACAGGACATGATGGGTATAATGGTGTGTACATGTGCGTTTCTTTGCTTTTTGACAAGAAAAGGTAGACAAACATCCTTTTTTTTATTCCCAGAGTTCTTTGGCTTGATTAGTTTCTAAGATGGTGAGGTGTGCATTCTCAGGTGACTGATGAGGTTGCGTTGTTGGGTGAACTTGCCCCCACATAGTTGGCATTCATAGGGTTTCTCTCCAGAGTGGACACGCATGTGCTCGGTCAGACGGTACTGCCGCGTAAAGCGCATGCCGCACTCCTCACATGCAAACGGCTTGAGGCCGAGGTGGCTGCGCATGTGGCGTGTCATGGTGCCCCTCTGGGTGAACATTTTGCCACAGATGTTGCAAGGAAAGGGCCTGGTTAGCCAGTGGCTCTTTTCATGTTGCCTTAATGTAGCCGGGTCTTTGTAGCTCTTACTGCAGACTGTGCACTTGAATGGACGCGTTTCTGAGCCAAAACTAGAGGGCCCAACTGTAGCAGAAAGATCCTCAGCTTCCTCCTCATCTTCCTCCTTCACCAAAGTCCCTCCTTCCTCTTTGATGAAGAGCTCATCCTCAGTATGCGTCTCCACATGGGCATTGAGCTGCTCAGAACTGGGAAAGCCCTTGCCACATGGAATGCACACGTACAGGTTGTCCCCCAAAGCTGGCTCAAACCCTTCCTGGCGGTAAACATAGTTGGTGCTGCGGTGGCCCCCTCCATTTCCTCGACACCCTGTACTCTCTCCATCACTCTGAGCACTATCTTCACTGTGGTCCTGGCCATTCTCCCCAGCATCCTCTTCATCTTTACACTGATATGACTGTTCAGAGGTAAAGCTGCTAGCGCTACCTGCACCAACACCAGATGAGCGGCCATCTTTGGGACCAACTATGACTCCATTAACTAAGGGCCTGTCATTATCTTCAGATTTCAAACCTGACGCTTCTCTTCTGGGCCATTCATTTTTTCTAGAGCCCTGTCTGGATCTCTTTTGAGGGGGCGGTCCATCGGGCTGCAATGGGCCATCCTCAGAGGCTTTGGAGGAGACCTCTACAGGGTCCAAGCAGTTGTCCACTCCTGGGAGTGTGGCTGAAGAGTCATCCAGTGAGGCACTGTTGGTTGTGGATACTGAGGCAGATTGAGGGGATTCCTGGGAATTGCTGTGAGGGCTGAGGGCATCAGTGGCAGTTCCTGCAGAGGGGGGGCTCTTTTTGGACAGATCTAACCCAAGATCAGGCTCTCCAGCACTTCCACCACTGCTGAGGTTTCCATTACTACTGCCGTTCCCTGCATTTTTCCCAGAGCTGCCGACAAACATCTCATCATCTGAGAGCTTGTCCCGAAGGCCCTCATCGGGCTGTGGCTGGTCCATGTCGGAGGATGTAGGGGGGTAGTGGTTATTCGGCCCTGTGGGGGTGGAGGAGGAAAGGTGCTGGTTGTTGAGGCGTAAGCGGCTAAGAGGGCCTGGAGTGGAGGGTTTACCTGGCAGGGGCTTCCCACCACTGCGTTTCAGTCTCTTTCTGCACAGAGCAGCAAGATCATGGAGCTGGAGGTAGCTAGCTGCGGTTAAGAGGGCACTGAAATTTTGCTCATTGCTCAGGTCAGAAGAGGAAAGGAGCTTTCCAGTATAGATAAAGTCCAGGACTTGTCTGAACACAGAGGGGTTAACCATTTCTGTGTCCAGGTTAATGAGGTTATCATGAAGGACCAGAGACTTAAAATATATGCTGCTTGCTGCCAAGATGTTCTTGTGGGCCCGGAAAAGTGCGTTCTCCACCACAATGATGACATCACACAGGAAGCCCTTGGCTCTCTGCTGGTTGAGTTGCAGCAACAGTTGTTTGGCATGGTTTGGCAGTTCCATTTCCACTTCCCTTCTCTGGCTTCCGTCACATGCACCACCTGAAGCTGAAAGAAAAAAAAAAAATCTGTCACATTTATGTGGATAATGGGGAGAAATTCAACATGACATTTCTTTAATTAACCATTACTTCCTTATTAGATATCATAATAAATTATAAGTGAAATTACCAGTATAAAATATAATACTTTAGTTCAAAGTGTGCAACAGCTTTAAAAATGCATGCTTTAATAGTATTAGCAACTAATGCTAAACATTATGTGCATGCTGCTGCCACTTCCACTGCCAGTCTTTTCCTTTTAGACAAATTGCTTCAACAGATCATGTTTGGTTTTACGCACACTGCCAGTCTTTTGGCACAAAAGTCACAGGGCGGAGATAAAAATGGGTAAAGTAGCTACTACTCCAAGGACTGTCTTTCAGATCCTTTTGCTCAGTGGAGTAACTCTAGTTTTGGTGGGCCCTCTTTGGAAACTGTTCACTTTACTCTTCATTAGGTCATGGTAATGTCAGCCCTGCTCCATTGTCTCGAGGTGGGGGGCAGTGGCACAGTAGGGCCAGGGGGGAGGGATTAGGTGACACCTGAGCATCTAAAGCTACACATGAGCCAGGGCCACAGAGTGGGGGAGAGGGTGTGGCACAGATAAACACAGCAGCACCTGATCCTCCAGGGAAAGGTTTTCATTTGAAATGGGCCAGAACAATCTTAGGCATTGCATGAGCAGTGACAACAATTACTGCCATACTCTCAATTCAGTTCAAATTGGAAATGGCCATTTCTAAAAGGTTGTTAAGTTTATTCCATATATTGTTCACACATTAACTGTTATGCAAAGCTAGGATTTATGAACATATACAGTAAAATGTGAGCGTGTAGTGACCAAACACCACATTCACAGTAGTTGATGACTGTTTGGAAACAGTCAGGCTGATACAATCAGCTGGAGCAGTCATTACTCTTGGCTCAGGCCTGAGCTTGTCTCCTCTGCTTTGACACTTCTTCTGGCAATCCTCCCCTCCCCCCATTTTTTTTACACCATCCATGACTACACCACCAGCTCTTTGCTAGGTATATGCACCCCACAGACAATCTAAAAGCTCTGATCTAAAACATAAAGAAGATATTCTGAAATATATTACATTAGATGTGAACTCTATTAGACTGAGCCATGTGGGGTGGACACTACTTCATTCTCACACCAGTAATGGAGAAGGAAGACTAGGAGCTTTAGTGTGATGCCAGCCAGGAAGCCATATATCAGTCAAGTCCCTCTCTCAACATACACACACCTCTGCTGGCTTTATGGTGGGATTCAAGAGGCTTTTCCAGCAGACCAACATAAAAGGGGGCTGGGCTCACTCTAAAGAAGCCAGCTCGCCCTCCCCCCACCCCTTCCTCTTCTCATCCCTCCTCCCTCCTCCCCCCTCACCCACTCTACTACCCACTCCCCCTGGCCCCTCTGGTGCTGTGCAGTGCCGGCTGGATTCCAGGGAGCTGCTAATGGATTACGACTGATCTATATGCAGCTAGGGTGGGACACGTGTAGGCCCAACGGTGCTGCCCAGGAAAACTGTCTTCAAACCAAATGGCAGCAGATAGGACTCCACACTCTTGAAACCACTTTTAAATCCTTATAGTTCTGATACTGAATACTGAAATTAGGTGTGTGAAACTTATTACTGCATGTTTTTCTGCTTCTTCTAAATATAAATAAGAGTTTTGACTAGAGGCACACAATGACAGCAGCATTGTCAGGAAGGCCAGTCTTAAAAAAAACAAAAACATTCTCTGACCAAATCTGGCCAAGATGGCTCCGACCTGCCTCAATGATGTCTCCCTTCAAGCAGACACAGGATCAGTTTACCCAGACCGCAGTGCTACCTCTGTAGTTTAAAGATACAGTGGGCATACACACTAGGGCACTACAAATACTATAATTTCTCATCAATCTTCATAGAACAATGTCACACTTCCATCATAGGCCTAAAACAGGATTAACCATTTACAAAAAAATACCTGGTTCAGTGTAATTTTTATTTTGATAAGAGAATTTACCAATTTGTGCCACATCCTAAAAGATAATACATTGCAGTGAATACATTTAATCTGACATGATCAATACCCTACTCCAAAACACTCAAGTGTTGTGAATTAATCACCATGTTTTGCAAATTATATGGTTATACAGTACACACATAATATGGGTAATCTGGTAGTCATTAGCTGCAGCCTAGCCTTAGATTTGCAGAGTTTATGGATTAGACCATGTGATACCTTGGGGAGTGAGTGTTCACACAGTGAAGGTGAGTACAGAAAGGAAGGCTATGGCACATATCTCTGCACAGAAAGCTAAAAGCCAGAGGAGAGGCCAGAGGTGAGCCAAAGTTCTGTGGCGCAACAACAAAACACACCCTACTACTGTGAAAGGTTATAGGTTAACAGCTAATAGAAAACCAACCGAGGAGGACTTCTAAAACATAATCTTAACCATCAGTGAATTTTTATGATTAGCCTTTATTGTATTTACAGGCAAAATACTTCTATGTTGTACATGTATATTTATTTTTCTGCCCAAAGACTAAGCTGGTGCATGGGCAGAGGAGGGGAGGAGCCGAGGGAGATCTTTTTTTTTTTTTGCTCTAGATTTGGGATCCAAATGGAGGTGAACAGGTGCATGAACCAATTGTTCTGAGGTTGAACAAGAAATTACAGTATCTTTGCCACAGTCTGAGCTGAACACATCCAATTAAGGCTTGGCCAGTTCAGCCATGTTACAGACAAACAAGACCTGCCCAGGGTGCAGCGGAATGAAAAGAAGCCCATGCATTTCCTCACAGGAGGGGGCCTGTGCTGCCGTGTACCCCAGATGTGCCAATAGGGCTACAGGAGAAGAAAAAGCCTCTCTGCATTGCAAGACTACACATGCTAAAATATTACAAGCTAGAAGGTCGGTGGATTCACTGATCGATGGGGACAAAGTCAACCAGATTTTTTGTTAGACAGACAAATAATTTAATTAAGATTATTAGGATTTACATGCACAGCACAGAGAGGAGAGAGCATATGGAGTTACTGGAGAGTTACACTGGCATTTTCACTTATGAAGACACTTGTTTGTTTTACAACAAATTTTCTCTACATGTTTTTGAGCAAAAACAAAGATTTTGAGGTATTTTGTCAGTCCCATTCCTCCTTTTATAGCTAACTAATTGATGCACAGGGCATGTCTTTAGTAGATGAGCTAGATTTAAAAGAAATAGAACAAAATACAAGAGTGGAGTGATACTTATTGAGAATCATGTTGATAAATTATACAACTCCAGTATAAATGGCATGAATTAAGCCAGTAACAAAAGACCATTTGCCATATATGTTCAAGACTTCTAGTATTGTTAATGTGAGTAATTTGATTTATTATGTTTAATTATGATAGATGTGCCATGCAAACATTATTTATGTTGCTGACAAAGTGAGACAATAAATTAAATGTAATTATAGCAAAACAACTGTCCTTTGCATCAGTACATCTTCAGAAGTAAAGTAATCATCCTCTAGCATTGCATGAGCCTTTTGATTAGACTGATAAGTGACCTCTGTGTTGAAAGAATGAGCAGTTGATGAGATAAAAGCGCTCATAAAAGCAGCAGACCCACATGACCTGGGTGCCTAATGGTTTGGCTAAGGACAGAGGGCATGTTGGGTAAGGAAGGACACTGTATGCATGGTCCAAGGTTTTACACAGCTGCCCACCCCCTCCCCTTAAACGCTGCATAACCTTCTGGCTATCAGCACTACATTCCAAAGACTGTTTCTTCTTCAAGAACAACAACCCTGCCCTGAGGTACTTTGCCAGTGAACTAACCATACTGCCTTCAAACAAGCTGCACTGGGGAGCACAGCCCAACAGACAGATCCCTACAGATACGACAGCCAAGCACAATCTATAAGTCCTCGTCCAACATGTCAGCAGAACATATAGCCTAAGTAGCCTTCTTACTGCATTGTGCTGGGAACACATACACATAGGTTACTATAATCTACAATGTACACAACATAATGTGGTTCGACTATGGCGTGGGGAGGGGGGGACAACCAATGTGAAGCAAGACCAACCAACTGATCATGAGAATCATGAGGCACACACACACACTGGCCTCAAATTAGCCTTGAGGCCCTCTTTGTAGTCTATAACAATCAATGAAAAGTCACACCGATCAGTTGACTTGCTGTGGTAATTCTGAAGACATGGATGGCTTACTCACCACTTTCTTCCCCCTAAAATAACTGGTTAAATATTATTGTTGATCTTGTGCAATGATAGTTTCCTGAGAGACAGTCCAATATGCTGAGAACTATGGTATATGCACTAAGTCATGCCCATGTTGAAAACACAAATAAACAAAAAAAAAAAAAAAAAACTAGAGCTTGGGTGGAACATCACACTTGACTTCTCGCTGGATACTTAAGCATGAAGTTGAACGCTTGCCCTTGATAATTAAAGAGTATAAATTAGGCTTACTTTTACTAGACTATTTATATATGGCAACACAACGAAATAAAAGAGAGAAAACAAAACAGAATGATCAGAATTTGTGGCCTCTATCTAGACTCTTTTCTAACTGATGTGTCTTTGTTGCTTGTGCTTGCAGACTATAGTTAAATTGTTAAATCAAGGTTAATCACGTTGGCAAGGAGCTGGGTTGCACCAACACCTGAGACCTCTGAACTGCTGAGCGTGATCGTTGGATGCTGGTGCAAGGTTAAGGTTTATATATTAATTAATAGGCAAATTTGATATGAACAGAGGGTTTGAGTTCACCGTTCAGTTTTTTTTTTTGTCCGAATCAGAGCCTATAGGCATCATGTGTAGAGCCTTATCCTGAAACCTGGTTTCACCAAATGTGTCACTGAAAGACGATCTGAAGTTGCCTTTTTGCCTGCGCGTAGCCTTTTGGCAGTTTATTAAATTGGGACACTTTTCATTAAATCCTAGACTAAGGTTCAGAAAACTGCACATTATTATGAAAGGGATTCCAAACCCAAGTTAGCTTGCGCAATTGGTCGTATCAATGCCATGCCCAACAAACGCGTTTGACTTAAAGTGAGTCTGATCAGATACGATGTAACCAAAATAACAGGTTTATTTTGGCTACTTGTCGTTCGAGCAGTTGCCTAGCGCATCTTCGACAGACCGTCCGTGGTGGAGCTGCTGCTGCATAATGGCTTTGCCAGCCTGGTAGGCTAATTCTCTGACTCTGGCTCGTCTTGCAGGGCATCTCTGTTTGGACCCCCATCGTAGCCTACAGCAAATATATGTAGCTAGCCAATTCAAAAATAGACGTTGTAGATGGTAATTTTAAATTGTGCAATCACTGAATGCCCGAGTAATCGGTAACGCCGCGAGAGGCACCATTGGCAGACCCTTTTTGTTGGCACGCCGTAGAAAAAAACACTAGCGCGTAGCCTACACCAAAAATCCACGATCAATGCACCGAGGCAAGTACGCAAACCAATACATACGTTACAGACAGCGACTTGGCACATTCATTTTGTACAATTTCAAGAAAATCTAACATCTTACCTTGTTACATCGGTAATATCGTTCTCAAGCGTTCGCTACCATCCTCCTGCTCATCTCACAGCCTTCGGGACGCCATGTTGCAAGCTTATGACGTTAGGCTTCCTCACCCCTGACCCACATTTGAATAGAAACCAGCCCCGAGTGCGACGCACAAAACATCCCACTGTGGGAGGGTCTGGAGATTTTTTCAGTGCAGGACCCCCTGGCAACTTTACCTGCCAGATGCCACACATAGGACTGATCCAGCCCACAGATAAGGAGGAGCAATCTTGTTTTTGACCATCTTCACGAGCGCAGCGTGATGCGCAATGCCTGCCTATATACTGAAACACTTCTGTAAGCAGTTCATGATTTTAGATTAGGCCTACCTGAATAATTCAGCAGAACAGATGAGATTGGTTTCAGTTGTAACATTAATGTGTTTTCATAGAATTTACATTTGTAGGGGCAACACTATCTAAATGAGTAACATAAAACAGCAGCCTTTGTATCTTGTGGGCGCACTCAATTTTGTGTCAGTTTTTGGCCTCGCAAATGTTATTTAATTTCTATTGAGCTGTAAAACTCAAAGGACTATAAAACACTACCTCCAGTGTTTCATGACCATCCAAAGACACACACACACACACACACACACACACACTCACACACACACACACACACACACACACACACACACACACACACACACACACACACACACACACACACACACACAACACACACACACACACACACACACACACACACACACACACACACACTTTAGCGCAACGATTTCACTACTTCCACTTCCCTCCTGTGATATCTTTACGGTGTATAGTGTGTTGTTTCGCGGTGTCCTCGCGCTTTCGTGGCACGGTGCCAAAGCCACGGGCCTCTCCTGACGCTCTGTGGTTTCCCCCGAAACTACATCTTTCGGAGTCAGATCTAATTAGCACATTTGAACAGCAGCAACACTAGTAGGCTACTTTGGCAAAATTATACTTAGTCATTAATAAGACACAATTTCACATACATTTGAAACAAATAAGGCATCTTAAAAATTAAACAATAATTTATTATTGTGTGTGTCATAAATTACCCCGTTTAATCCTGTTTAATCGAAAGTTTAGGTAATTTTTGGTGATGAAAAGTGGGTCTATCATTTTAAGAATGAAATACCATTTTATACGTAAAATATTTTTGTTTACATTTGGTGCAACATTAAGAGGGCATGTTTGTTAAACCATATGACATATGCACATTATGTAACATTGTGTTCATTATATTAAACATCTTAATAAAAGAAAGTGGTCCATTTATATTTCAAAACTGCAGAACTGATAGGCCTTGTTAGTTACATTTCACCACAGAAGGCAGCAGATTTTCATTAATATGTTTTTTACTGTGGAAAAATGCTGTTTTTAACAGTACATGTGTGACCTGGAGTCTGAATCTTTTAAATAATTACAAGTAGCTGTTGGCTGTGATAAGGGGCAGGTGAAAACAGAAATTTTCTGAGCACTCAGGCTCAAATGCAGGATCATACAGGATCAGAGGATTACACAAACATGCGTGAATCAGTGATGAATTCTCAACGATTGATGACGTATAATGTTGCTAAAAGCTCATAAAAGTTTATTTTACATAATATGTGTCCCCGTTAAACAAAAAATATAAACATAAGGAAGAGACTGCCAGGTACAATGTATCAATTCAGAAAACATCATGTGGAAACAACTGCCTGTGACTTTTCCAGACCTGTCATGGTTCATCATCGGTTTAAGAGACAGGACTTTGTGGACTGGACAGAGCTAATAGTTGTTTCTGAAACATGTTCTTCACTAACACATTTAAGGAGACAAACTTGACATTTTGCACTTTTACACCAAGTTAAAACATTGTTCTGTCATGCCTGAAGAGGTTTTACATGTGATCTATGCATGTTTGAGTTACTTCATGATCTCCCCCAGGTCCTATCTATACCCTCTTTAGGGTTACCTGTAAGATTTGTCCAGTGCTCAGCCCACGAGCCTGTCATCCATGCTTCCACATGACAATTCTCTACAAATATACAAAAGCATGATATAAAACTGTACGCAACAATTTCACAAACCTGATGCAAAGTGTAGTAGTAGTAGTAGTTTTATTAGCTAGATGCACACTGATTGTGTTGTGCTCTAAAGGAGGGAGGGGGGGACTCAGAGCATCAAACACTAAAATAAAACATTTAAATCATATTAATTAATATGTTGTTTTTTTTGTGAATATAGCATTTTCTAAATATGTTATGTGTTTGCAGTTAATACGCTGTAGAAGTGTGATATCCGCTCTTTAAGGCAAAGCCCTTCAAGGCAAACTAAGTTTCAGAAAAAATGACTTTTCTCTCACAGGCAAAAGGGCCACACCTTCCCTTTTGTCATAAGATTTTTAAGTGAAAGTGACTATAGGCTTTGTATTTATGATTCCAAATTGGATTTTTACAATTGGATTATAAAAAACCAAGAATATCAACCCCAGAGTCTTCTTTCTAGTCCCTGTCTTGAGAAAGAATTATCAAAAAGAGAATCAAGAAATGGGACAATAATTTGACCAATTATAATATAAAGCCAAAAGCATACATATTAAAAATAAATCAAATTTATTACCAATGCACATTGCACATCTTCTGCATATCAATACAACATAAAAATTAGATATAGCTACACAATCATCTTTCTTCTACAACAATGTCTCCACACTCTGGAGATAACAGTCTTCCTGATGGCAGCACAGCCGCGCATGTACAGCAAAGGGGTGAGAGCTGAGTTGATTCGAGGTAAAATGCGCAAAGGGTCTGTGCCTTCATTCTTAAACATGTAGCATGTATAGCCTATGAAATTACAGATAATGACATGTGTAAAGAGGGGGACCCACGCTACTAAGAAAAATGCCACCACCACCACTATGAGATGTACTGATGAGCGCTTGTTATCCCTCTCCTCAGAAGGTGGCTCCCTGTCCAGCTGAAATCTCGCAATAATAAACAGTCGAATGTTCAGCCCTATCATGATAACTACTGTGAGTACATTAGCCACAAATGAACCAACGCTGGTGACACGACTAGCCAGCCCTATTGTCAGTAAATTATGAACACCAACAATGAAGAAAGCATACACCCAGTAGGCAACTATAATAATTATTGTCCTGTTTCGTGTTATGCGCTGGAAGTATTTGAAAGGAGAGACAATAGCATGGTACCTGTCTGCCTGTGCTGCCATGATAGCCATGACAGACAAACCTAAAAATGTAGGTGCAATATACCTAGTTCTTGTTGGTGAATCCCATGTATCTCTCACATCAAGTACACCAACATAGTAGTAAGACACCCCCGTACAAATGTCACTTAAACAAGTACTTAGCATGTACAAAAAGCGGCTCTCATTGCGCAAAGCCTTGTTAAGTAGAATAGCAAGACCTACAGACACATTCAAGAAAATTATGACTACAGGCAGTGAGATGCTGAAGAGAATCATTAACACGTTGGCAAAACTAGTGGGAGGCAACAGAAGAGACAATCCCTGACTCTTGTTCATTGGAGAAGGAGTCGACACAGTGTTTGGGTCTGCGACATCACACGCCCATCAAACTGCATGCCTGGGATTTGCGCTCATTTATACACTGCACTAACAAGCAGAAGTTCCCTAGAGAAACAGGTATCTAAAAAAAATCCTTGAATACTTTTGACAAAAAATAAACATGTGCTTTTTTAACCCTTATGCACTACTTTTTATATTGTGTCAGATGTGATGATGTCATACTCATCACATCTTAACAAAATCTGCATTTTAAGTGTTTATTTTGGCTGCCCCATCAACTGAACTTACTTACTTTCTTACTAAATCCTATACATTACATTACTAATTACTAAATCTAATCCTATACATTACTGTTTCAGCTGAATTAATTCAATTTTATTTCAGCTTATAAGTTATATGAACGTTATTGCCCCAATTGCAATTTTCAGTCTTAAATCTTGATTTCTTTGATTTGATTAAATTCACCTGCTGATTTTGTTTCTCAGCCTTTTGTGTGATTCTTATTCATGCCATTTCAGACTTTCTTCAGATCCATGTAAATGTCTCGTCATGTCCTTGTGTTGATACATGCAGGACAGACCAGACTCCTTGCTGTATTAGTGAATAGTTTGACCATGCTGCTTACCCATTAAATTCTACGTGAAGGGCTCAGACATCATCAGTTCATTTTCAACTAAATTATGAGCAGAGATGAACATATTCTTACAGACACATGCAGATTTGAATAAAGGATTTGACTAATGTGTTCCTGCAAAAAGCTGATTCAATGGTTCTGTTTGTCTTGATTCAAAAATGTCATGCTTAGCTACAGAGCACAAGGAAAGAAGACCTGTTAAAAAAAAAAAGGTCCGGTCAGGGTAGTGATGAATTGCAGCCAAATTTGCCAAGCAACCCAAACTAATTTAATTTTCCACCCATGCTGCTTGTACAGTGGAAAATGAAAAGTTACAGACTTATTTCAATTACTTTGCTATGCACTAACCATTCTACAAAGATGGTGAATACAACAGTGAACCTAATACCTCTCTGTTTTGCTGTACTTTTCTATTGACTATTAAAGTATTATAGACTAAAGCTTCTTTATGTCCCCTTTATCACAAACACAGGCTTTTGAGTTCAGTTAAGAAGCTCTTTGGGGCAATCAAAGGTATAACAGTAATTATATTCTTCTTGTTGACGTTTATTTGACCAGGAGGATAGACCAGAACATGCAAACACAGAAATGTTCAGGGAGTCAAAACAATGATCTTCTTGTGAATATATCAATTTAGGATTAGATTGATTAGGTAAAGATTAAATTGAGCATTTCTTTGTTTTATTGTTCTCTTTTATTGATCTTTTACTCCATTTACATTTCCAGGGTTAGGGCAGTCATAAAATTATAAAAAGATTAGGCTACTGTTGATCACAATACATTGCACAGAAATATGTGATAATGACAACCTCACTTTTACTAATCCTTAAATCCTAATTTGGGTAGAAAGGCAAATATAAGCGAGGACTACACAGGCATCTTTAGAAGGACCAAGCACCCCTATTATTCTAGAGTTCATGAAAACTTTCAGCTGACTGAAGCTCAAAAATATCATTAACACTGTTTAGGTGTATGTTTAAGATGGTTTACATCTTTAACACATCCGTTTATTTGCTGATGGACCACGCCTAGGTCAATACCTGATTCTCAGTATGAACGGATCGACATATGATTTATAAAATAGAATAATCAAATAGAATCTCATGTTCTGACAATATGATTGAATTGAGTCTTTATTATTATTATTTTTTAAATCAATCCTCGATAGAAACAAGAAAGTGGGTCCTATTCCCCCTCAGGACTGTGTAGGCGTAGCTCATTTGATTTCAGGAAGCTTTTGATTTTCAGCAATCTCCTGTTCTGGCACTTTGTGGCGGGATAGCTCTCTACTGACACTTGCTGGTTTTCACCATTACTACATCATTGCTTAGAGGCCACATTTTAAAGCAGCATTATTGAAGAGCAAATAAAACATAAAAGAATGAGATGCAGATGTAGGCCTAATAATATTACAATAGTACTACATAAATAGATCAGTAATGTTCTTCTGAAAGGGTAAAAGGATTCTAAACTATACTTTCCACTGAATTTCTTTCAATTAAACCACATAGGCCTACTCTAGCGTATTATCGACTTTCACTTAGACTCACGGTACTATAGACACATACTATAGCTGACTGCAACTGAAAGTTTAGACTGTCAGTTTTTCTTCCTTTTACACGCTTCTACAATGTCTCCATACCCTGGAGATCACAGTGGTTCTGATGGCAGCACAGCCGCGCATGTACAGCAAAGGGGTGAGAGCTGAGTTGACACGAGGCAGAACGCGAAGGGGGTCCGTGCCTTCATTTTTAAACATGTAACATCTAAAACCCGAGAAGTTACAGAAAATTACATGAATGAACATTGGCGTCCATGTCGCCAAGAAAAACGCAACCACTACTAAGATGAGGTTGACTGAGGAGCGCTTGCTGTCCCGGTCCTCTGACGGCGGCCCTTTGTCCAGTTGAAATCTGGCTATCATAAACAGGCGAATGTTCAGACCAATCATGATGACCACCATAAGTATATTTGCCACAAACGTGCCAGTGGCTGTAAAATTTCGAATTACGCCCTGAGGTACGAGGTTATGCATAGCAACAACTAGAAACGCATAAACCCAGTATGCAACTATAATAAGTATAGTCCTGTTACAAGTCATGCGCTGGTAGTATTTGAAAGGCGAAACAACCGCATGGTACCTGTCTGCCTGCGCTGCCATGACAGCCATAAAAGACAGGCCTAAAAATGTAGGCGCAATATAATAGGTCGCAGGAGTATTGCTGCTGTCTCTTACATCAAACACACCAACATAGTAGTAAGACACCCCAGTACAAATGTCACTTAAACAAGTACTTAGCATGTACAAAAAGCGGTTCTCGTTGCGCAGTGCCCTGTTTAGGAGGATGGCAAGACCCACGGACCCATTGAAGAAAATGATGACTGTAGATAACGTGACGCTGAAGAGAAGCACTAGCACGTTGCCAAAGTTTGTAGGAGGCAACAGGAGAGACAGTCCCTGGCTCTTGTTATTCATTTGAGCAGGGTAGATGGTTACATCACTCATTCATTGAGCGCACCGCAATCTGTGAACCGGCGAGCATAGGAACTCTAATTTTATAGACTGAACAGATGGAGAGGAGGAGCGAGAAGCAACACGCCGACATGCAATAAACAGTGTACTTTATGATCACAAACAGATAAAGATGCTAGGCCTAAATCAGATCAAACTCGGTCTGCACTTCCCCAAATAATCTGTGTAACTAATTATTTTGGGTCACTTCTTTTTATTTGAACTTGAGTAGCCTAATATTACATTTTGGCTATTCTCTGCTACTAGGGCCTATATCCTATAGTACGATTAGGATAAAATTATGATTAAGAATCATAATATAGCAATAAAACAGGATGAGATGGATTGTTAAGAAGATTTTGGCCCACTCTGTTGAGAGTAAAGCAATCTCGTTGTCACACGTCAGTTTTTTCTCAAAACTGTATGATAAACTGGAACTCACTAGTATATTTAGAAAATAGACCTAATTTGTTTTATTAATATTTCATAGTAACTCTGAGAGAACACAAATAAACAGTCCTGCAATAGTCAATAAATAGTTAATATATTCACAATATTGAGCGTGCAATGCACGCTTTGTGTGCTCGTCACGCACGCTGTTATGAATTACGCAAAAAAATTCGTGTGCTTTGGTGTTTGCCCAGATAATTTTACTTCAGAAACAGTTCTGCTGAGAGCGGAGGACGATAGGAGCGTGAGCTTCGCGCATCTTACTATTCACTGCGCATAAGGGCACACGGGAGTGAGGGCGACTCAAGGCCCAAATGAGTTAAACTTTGCTTGAGGGCAGACCAATCAAAAGAAGGCAACAAAATTTAATATATTTTTTGGATGAAGTGCCATTTTGGGTAAATGCTATATATTTCATTTACCTCATGATTTCGTAAACAGCATGGATCTACAGTCAAAGTCAAATTGCATTTCACCCCCCATATAGGCCTACATTTGATTGTACGTGGCGTGGTTGAAAATGACGTTTGTTTGTGTGCGCGTCCTCCTGAGAGTTTGTTTTGCCCTGATAAATACAAGCGCGTGGACACAGGCCGCGTTTGGTGGAGCTCAAGGATGCTCCACAACTCCACAGTCCCTCTGTCGGTTGACTTCGACACGCCCGGGGATTTCTTCATCTTCATCTTCCACATTGTGTTTGCCACGTGCGCAGTACTCGTGGCGGGCTCGGTTGTTATTGGGATCTCATGCACTCGATCGTTGCGAGTTCAGAACCGATTTGTGTTCATGCTTAATACGAGTATCAGTGACACGCTCACGGGGTTTTCTGTATACTATTTAGGTCTATTTGATGTGCAGGAAGGATACCCGTCAAGAAATGGCACCTATTACATCCTCCCCTCGTTTCTAGGCGTTAACGTGCTGACATTTCTCTTCGCACAATTCGATCGGTATTTTGCGGTGTGCCATCCCTTTTTCTACAACCGCTTCATCTCCAGATCCGTGGTCATTGGTATCTGTGTTTTCTGTTGGGTTTACACGTACACAATTCTTACTGTGCAAAACATGGTGCCCATTTCCAAGGCTGCACAGATTAACGCGTTTGGAGTCATGACCTTTCAGATTATAGTGCTAGTGAAAGTTCTCATGACAGTTAAATTGTATATCATAGCTAGAGGTCATCTGATTAGAGAGGTACCCAGCGCAGAGCGGGATAAGAGAGAGTCTTTGCGCATCATAGTATTTGTCGTCATTTGCTTTTTGGCATTGTGGTGCCCCTCTTTTGTCAACATTATCGTGCGACAACTGACGCGCCAGGGACTCCGCTTCAGGAACGAGGCCACCAATGTGTTTGCTATTATGGCCCGGCTTAATGCGCTCGTCACACCGGCACTGTACATCTGGGGCAGTCCAGCACTGCGCAATTCTGTCTGGCACATTGTGTGGCGCAAGGTCTGCCCTTGTCCCAAGAAAAGGTAAAAAAATTAAAAAAGTGTGATTTTCACCTATGCATTCCATGAGTTTTCATATGAGTCTTTTCCTGTTCATTTTTAGGGTTGGATTCAAGTCGGACGAACCAAACGAACGCGCACAGTGACGTATTAATAAGCATAAAATGTGTATACTGTGTATATATAAGTACTTGATGAATTGTCCTCACTAACAAAAATTCTAAATTTGTTTTTTTTTTTATAATTAGGGCTGTATACAATGCGTTTAGATAAATCTAAAATATACAGGCCTAGGCTAGAGGATATAGTTTGATTATAAAAACAAAGGCTACATGGTTATAATTTTTTTTTTTTTTTTTATTATATTGTTTTATTCTATTTTAATGCAAAATCAGATTTAATTTTGAAGTAAGTCCTTTAATTAAATCATATTTAAGCTATAATTAGACCTAAACATTTTTTTCAAAATAACATAATTTGATTGCGTATTAATTTTAATCTTTATTAATCTTTATCATGATATAAATGAATAAGAATCATGTTACGTTAGTTTACCTGGGTCAAATAAACAAGAATCTCTCGCACACAGGTTAATTTCAGCACCATGGTCAGCTCCGCATGCACTTCTACGGAGCTATTGACTGGTAGTTTTGTGACCACTGCGTTTTGTGTGTTTAAGCATGTTGCAAAATGAAACACAGCTTTGTTGATCCTGCGTAAAAGAATCATGAAACTACAAAGTAAATAGACTTGAACCATTAAATTAAAAAGTGTTAAAATATCTGACGATATTATTTCCGGCTAAGCCTCTACAGAATGTACATCAGACAGACCAAGTAGTGCTCTTTAAATAACAGGTTTAATTTTTAATGTAATTATATATATTAAATATATAGGTTGAACCTATACTCTGAAACATTTGTTGCATTTTTATTATTATATAACAATGCATACTACTACTACTACTACTACTACTACTACTACTACTACTACTACTACTACTACTACTGCTGCTGCTGCTACTACTACTACTACTACTACTACTACTACTAATAATAATAATAATAATAATAATAACAATAATAATAATTAATTCATTTACTTGTATACATTTTTATTTATCCATGCTTTACACGACTCCCTCTTTTTTGTCGATGTTCATACACCGCCAGAAGCCTTGTGGTGTGGTCTTTGCGTATATCAGTAATGCAGGCCAATTCTTCTGAGAATAAAGGTTGTTTTTAAAAGCCTAGGTTCAAGAGCGTCGGCATTTGAAATGCTTTTCTCCAACACCTCAGAGCCAGAAGGAGTGTCGCTGTCTGTGGACTTCCACCACCCACAAGACTATTTCGTCTTTATTTTCCAGATCTTATTCGCCACCTCCACAGTTCTAGTGGCGGGGTCTGTAGTCATTAGTATACTGGCCACTCGAGCGCTGCGCCTTCAGAACCGCTTTATCTTCATGCTCAACACCAGTGTGTGTGATACTCTCGTGGGTCTGTCCGTCTTTTATTTGGGCCTGTTTGATGTCCACGAAGGATATCCGTCCAGGAATGGAACTCACAATTATCTCCCGTCTCTTTTAGGAGTTAATATGTTGACATTTATGTTTGCGCAGTTTGATCGTTATTTTGCTGTGTGCCATCCATTTATTTACACGCGCTTCATTACGCGCCGGTTCATCATATGTGTAAACATTTACAGCTGGATTCACGTCTTCTCGCAGGCGACCATTTTGTATTTGTTACCACTTTCAAAAGCCGTTCAGCTGTTTGTGATCAGTATAATTTCCCTGCAAATTATTGTGCTCACCAAAGTGTCCATGACTATTAAACTTTATTTTGTGGCTAAGTTTCAGTTGGAAAGAGATCCTCCTGGTCCTGAAAAAGAAAGCAACAAGGAATCCCTGAGATTGATTATTTTTGTAGTAATAAGCTTCTTAGCGCTGTGGTCCCCGTCCATTATAAATATCATCCTCAGGTGGTTAGGCAGAGGTATGACTTTTAGGAACGAGGCTACAAATCTTTTTGCTATTATGGCTCGTTTAAGCGCCATAGTCACTCCCGCGGTGTACTTATGGGGCAGTCCAGCTCTGAGGCAGTCTATGGTGCAGGTCTTGTGGGGCAGACTGTGCTCAAAGTGCAGACACAGAGGTAAAAACAGAGCAGCCAGAGTAAATATAAACCGCATTAATGTGCAACGTTAACATGTACTATAGGAGGTCCCCTAGAGTGTAACATTAGTCAACAATAGTTTTGTCTGAGCAATTTATGAGCTATATGGCTATTTCAGATAGTTTGTTGTTACTTGTATGACCCCTAATTGTGATAGCTGTCATATAGGACCAAAGGATGTAAGATTACATTTTTGTGTATGTGGCTATTTAAAAACATTGTTAACTTGATGTTCTTGAATTTAATGATTGTAAATTTAGGCTGGAGTTAGGCTTAATGTGTTATTATTGTTATAAACATAACATAAACATATGTGTCCCTGTGAAGCGGTTATTTTGATAGTGATTGTTATTGTTATTATTGTTGTTGTTGTTGTTTTTATTATTATTAACATGCTTTAACCAGCCAAATCAGGTTATAATTTGATGATGGGTGATTTCAGATGGAGGGCAGGGGTCTAGACTGTATAATGAGAAAGAATGATCCACAAATGTTAAACCTTATTTTTATTTGTTAGGGATTCATCTGCCATATCAATCTTTTATCTTGATGCCTTTCAACTGACAACAATTACATTGCTGAGGTTGAATAATTACTTCCTGAAATTACTTTTGTTTATGTGAACAGAGAAGACACTGTGTTTGTTGCATGTTTATAGGCCCAGTAATTACAAAGATATTAACCAAAAATAGGCCAAAAAACGATCTGTTATGACCACAGTTTTAAAGATGACATATTATGCTTGCCTAAGGACACTTGTTGGTTGTCCATGCTGTACTAAAGGACCTTTAATTTTTACACTGCAGAGGGCCTCAGGTCGTTAATTGATGCTGTACTCACATGTTTTTAGTAACACTGTTAAGTTATGTAGATTATGAATTTGCATTATGTTCTTAGTAAACACGACAACCACACTGATCTAAAACGAGTTAATAATAGAAACTGATCCATTCATTTCCTGTTTAAAACTGCTAAACTGAGGCTTACCTCTTCATAGTATTTTTATTGTTGAAAAATGAATGTAACAGTTTTGAAATAGACATATATGACCCAGAGTCTGATTTTTGTTTAATATTTGCAAATTTAAGTACACAGAAGTGGGCAGAGATGGGGGAAACAGAAATATTCCGAGGTCTCAAACCTCAAATGCTGGACAACACAGGATTACTCAACTATGAATCAACATAGAAATTAAAATAAAACTTTGAGTAAACAAATGATGAAGGAACATAATTATGGTTAAAAGCTTATAAAATCTATTTTACATAGACTAACATGTACATGTCCCCTTTAAACTGTATTCTAGAATGTGGCAATGCCATTTGAATAAATCAACACAATAATATACTCTTCTGTGCCTGTAGGGATTATTGTGCTTAGGTCTATAAAAAGGATTTGCTGGAGGCATGCATGCAAACAATGTCCAACACCTCAGTGTCTTTGACAGGAGTGCCGCTGTCTGTGGACTTCCAGCACCCTGAAGACTACTTCGTGTTTATTTTTCAGATCTTATTTGCCACCATCACAGCTCTAGTGGCAGGGACTGTAGTCGTTAGTATCCTGGCCACGCGAGCCTTGCGCCTTCAGAACCGCTTTATCTTTATGCTCAACACCAGTGTGTGTGATACTCTGGTGGGTTTGTCTGTTTACTATGTTGGTCTTTTTGATGTCTTTGAAGGATATCCACCAAGAAATGCGACATATTATGTTTTACCTTCACTTATGGGTGTGAATATCTGGACATTTTTGTTTGCTCAGTTTGATCGGTATTTTGCTGTGTGCCACCCTTTTATTTACAGTCGTTTTATAACAAGACATGTTGTAATTGCTGTTAATATCTATTGCTGGGTCTACACATATATGCATTCAATCGTAAGAACTTTGCTGCCAGTGTCTACAGCCTTACAGCTCTATGTTTTTAGCATTGTGTCTTTTCAGATTATAGTGTTAACCAAAGTCATCATGACTATTAAACTTTACTTTGTGGCCAGGTTTCAGGTGGAAAGGGACCTGCCAGGACCAGAGAAAGAAAGCAACAAGGAATCACTAAAAATTATAATTTTTGTTGTAATCATGTTCTTAGTGCTGTGGGGCCCCTCATTCATAAATATTCTTCTTAGGTATTTTGGAGGTGGAGTGACCTTTAGGAATGAGGCCACTAATATTTTTGCAATAATGGCTCGCTTTAATTCATTGTGTACTCCGTCTGTGTACATATGGGGAAGCCCAGCTCTGAGACAGGTCATAGTCCGCACACTGTGGGGTAGAGTGTGTCCTCGCTGCAGCAGAAGGTACAGTATAAGAGTATGCAAGAGTGAACTACACAGTTTAAAAGTTCTTAAATTATTGGCCACTAACTCTTTCTCTCTCTCTTTCTTTCTCTCTCTCTCACTTTCAGGATTGCTGTGGGGAAGATCATTCAGAAATAGAAAAAACTAAAAACAATTGTTATTATTACCATATTTCAGTTCAGTTGCTTTAGAACAGAGAACAAAATGTGCACACTTCAGTTCAGAACACACCTACTACTACTGCTACTACTACTACTACTATTACTACTACTACTACTACTACTACTCAAAATTGTAATGTATCCACATTTAGACTACTCAATTGAACATTATCATTGCTTTTGTTCTTTTGGATTGCTTTATGTCTATTCAGTTCATATTTCATTAGTTGTTTTAATGCATTTCTCAATAAACAATCATTTAATATGATGCGATTGTTGTCCAAATGAGTTTAAAACATGCAGATATTTCACTGATAAACAGCATTTTTGTCCAGAGCATTTAACTAAAAAATCTAATATAATTCCAGTCAATTCTGTAATTTTGGCTCTTGACTTGTTATTAACTGCCACACTACATTTGACTAATTTGTAAATAAAAAAATGTACCACATATTTTTCATACTGATATGCCTATTTATAAAAAAGAAATGTTAGGTCCTGCATATGTCCAGATAAGATAAGGCAGATGAGTGTCATATACAAAGCTTGTGTTTTACTATGACAAGGAAATGGTCTGTAGTTAGTTTATTTTGGGTAGTGACTAACTACCCTAATTTGGGTAAAAAGTGCATCATGAGGGACAAATGTTCCTCAAATCATCACGTCATAACAAACCCAAATATAAATGTTAATGTTTAAAATTATGCCATATTTAAAAGACTAATATTGTACATTTTTTAATATTCAGCAGTGGTGGAATGTAACAAAGTAAAAATAATAGAGTACATTTTAGGTATTTGCACTTAAGTCAATTTAAAAGTGGATACATTTTACTTTTACTTCCAATACATTTGAAAGCAAGTATCTGTACTTTTTACTCCACAAAATTTTTTAACAGGACTGAAAAGTAAAAGTATTTTTTAGTATTATCTCAGATCTGCTGAAAAGGCTGATGGGTTTATTTTTGATCAAATTTGTAGTTTGAGCAAACAAATACATACTGTACAAAGAAAAAATGCTAGGAAAAAAAAAGTATCATTCTGCACACATCTTTATTAATTATCTGAAATTTTATTAGATCTCAAAATCTGCGCAAAATACTTTTGTTTTTTACTCTCTAACTATATTTTTACACTACTACTTTTACATAAGTAAATTCTTCATGTGATACTTTTACTTACATCTGGATGTTATTAGCTGATCAGTTAAAAATGTTTTCACATGATTCAATGATTCAAATGATAGATTTTAGATTAAACAAGCCCATATAGTATTGAATTAGTATGGACTTGATTCTGTGATAGTAACACATTTAAAGCAGGAATAAAAAAAATATAATTTTATTTGTTTTAAACACAAAACTTTCAGGAAGTGTAACAGAATATACATCTTCAATATTCTGCTAACAGCTTTGTGCATTTGTTTTGTTTGCAGCACTGCACACGCTTACATTTTATATCAGGAGAAATTTTGATGTTTTTGCACTTTTTCCCTTTTCCTTTTTTCACCTGTAACAAGAAATTTATGTTGGAAATTAGACATGTATTGTACGTGCTCAAAATAATAACTCATAGCTCAATAATAGCACATATTTTATACTGTAAGAAAGATCTAAAACCACAACAAAATAAGTTATATTATTTGAACCCTTTGGACTTCCTACCCATTACAGAACATCTTTGTTTAACCCATGTACATGTATTTAAATTTGGACAAAACCTAATCCTAAATAACTTCAATTGTAAGACAAATGTTGGATATTTTATGTAATTAAAAAAAAATAAAAATGTATTAACTTAAAAAGTTGCATGTTTGTATTATCTCAATATATCATATGTATGTGTAAACTTGTGCAAAAATAAAGTGTCTAACTTAGCTACTTTGAGCAACACAACATGTACAGTAAGTAGAAGGAAATTAAAGCTCTTTTAATAGTCACTTGTTTCACACTGAACAAAACACACCATGGATACGAACACAGACAAAACAAGGACCAATGACAGGCAATAATAAATTAAGAATAATAATTAAGAATAAATTAAGAAAAAAAGACAAATAAATACATACATACATACATAGAAAAACACAAACACACACTGTCACATTTATATCGAAGACAGACATTGGAACAAATGCAACAGAAAGCTATCAAAAAGTTACATTTTTCCATGGCGTCCACTCGCTCCAGGCTGAGAGCACGTAGGAGTCTCTGCAGCGCACCCGGAACTTGCTGATCTTTCTTGGAATTAGGGCAGAAGATGATTTTTTGATCTGGCAACATAGAAAGGACAATGATAATTAAGATATAAATCAATTTCACATGTCTGGTAAAGAGCATGGACACACCTCGCCATTATCCTTCAAGATGTATTCAATCTCATTCTCCAAATTGAAGAAGCTGTGAGGGCTGGACCAGCTCCTGGGAGGCTCAATAGTCACATTTAGCTGTTGTCCAACAGGCTGACATCTGACAACACGGGGGCTGTCTGGTTGAACTAAATAACATAAATAAGTATGAATATGTGATGTATGTTTATTTGGCATATTGATCAAATAACATTTTCACATACCAATGTCTCGGAGGTAAAATCTTTTGGTTCTTTTCAGGATGAAGAAACCATCAAGGGCCTCGACGGTGAGCTCCAGCATTGTTGTCTCCTCAGCGTATGGTGAGAGTGAGTGAGACAACGCAAAGTGGAACCTGCCATGCCCCATCGTTGAGCTGTTCACCCACTGACAAGTCATATTCTTGCTATAACAAAACATCATGGTATAGCAGTTAGAGTAAGTATACTCATGTTTAATGAAATGTGAGCAAATGTTATTCATTTTACCAGTTTTGGCCTAGACGAAGACGCGCCACATTATAATCATTTTCATCCCACGTGCAGGTAAATGAACAGTCATAAGACTTTGCCCGGCATTTCAGAGATTCTACAATGACAATTAAAAATCCAAACCTGAATCAACATGATCTCTCACACACAAATGTATAAGATGTGCACATTCACTTAGTTAACAATTTAAACTGTTTGGGAAAGTCCCAAGCTAGTGTTTCTACACTCTTGTGTCCGTATTTGTACGATTGATAATGCACAATGACAGAATCAGCTGGGATTTTTGTAATAATTTTATCTCTGTAATCTCTCATCTAAATTTTATCTCTTTATTTCTCACACAGGGTTTCTGATTGGATGAAAACTTGTGTCCCTGGCAGCTGCTTCAAATCATATTATTTAGAATTTTATGTTTTCATTAGCTTTAAATGTATTTTTAATAGTTATTTATCTTGTTTTTTGATTGTGTACGTCTATTCTCCTACTGGTCTTGGACTTTATATTCCAACACTGGGGCACAAATAAAGGTTTCCTATGTCCTCTAGCCAACAAATATTGCTAGGATATGGCTTACAGTCAAATTTTTTCTCAGTTAGCTACTTTTACAATATGGTGCACTAGTTTAAGGGCATTTATCTTAGTTAAACCAAATTAAAATAAAGTACACGTCCTTTAATCTGAATTTACTGCCATGATTTTATTGCTTCATTCTCACAAAATTTGATTTAACTCTATTGTGACGTGTGGATTTACGCAACTGGTCCGATACATAAAGAACACAATCTTACCAAGGCTGTCATCGTCCTCAACTTCTGCCAGCAGAAATGTGGATGAGATTTTGTGTCCATCCACACTCCAGCAGACGTATTCACCCAGGACAGGGGCATCTACTTCATCCACTGTCACAAGTAAGCCGTTCAGATGAATATTTCCCCCAAAAGCACCATCTGTGAGTGCCTGGTCATTCAGAGTCCATGTGACAACTGTGTCTTGTGTTTCGCATGTCAGTGTGGCTTTTTCTTTAGCGGTCACATCTAAAAAAAAAAAGAAAAAAAAGAGAAGAAAATAATCACTGTCACTAGTCGCTCACTGGTACCAAGACAACATAACAATAACATGAGAAAATGGGGATGGGTGGGGGTTGTTTTCAAGACTGCATACAATATTCTATAATAATAATTTGGACCTGAGAAAAGTGTTTTGTTTCTGTGTATTTTTATACTGAAATAACAGATGCATTCTGATTCTGATGATAAAACAGGCAGAAGAACCTTACAGTTTAGAGGAAAGTGGTCCAAACCATGAACTGCAGCCACTGTAAAGATGAGCAGAATATTGATCCACACCTGTTTGTGAGAAAAAAAGTACTCAAACACCGATACATTTGCACAACCACAGTACAGAAATATTTTGGACTTACCATAATGAACAGTGATTAAAACCAAATGTTGAGTGCTGTCAAATAATTCAAGTGATTGATTTACGTAGAAGTGTTGGTGACTTTATACCATTACATTCAGCCCACACAGTCAGCATCATGAGCAACAGTAGCTCCAAAGTGAGAAAGAAACTGCGATAAGAGGCTGTTAAACACGATGGCTGCTAAACATGAACTTCCTCTTTTTTGTTTTGCATGCCAAATTTTATCAACAGATAACGCATGTGTAAAATAGACTCATGATGGTAGAAAAGCGTATGTTATGTGGGCGTGAAGGTTGGGGTTTGCCATGAATCAACACTGTCTGAAACAAAAAACATAATATTATTAATAATTAAAATGTGGAAATTTAAAATTTTTATTTTAACGAACTGTCCGGAATACTCAATTTTCTTTTCTCAAATTGGACTTCCCCTGAACATCACTGAACTGAATCACTAAAATACCACTTATATTTAGAGTACTGATCTTAGTTAAGGCATATAACAAGAAAAGATACACCACTAAACAATGGTTTAGTTTTACAGAAAAATGAGGATGAGGATAAATGAGGATATTACTCAAATAACTGAATCCTTTACATTTATTTATTTTATATATATGGATGGATTATTTGCTTATTAACACAGCATCTTAAGAGCAGAAAGCGCCACTGTCTGCGTGCTTATCATGAAGTGCTGCCAAATCAACATTAGTGAATGGGATACGTCTTATGACCCTTGCGCGTTAAATGCAGCTATGTGAGTATGGCAAATGAGAAGAAATGGCCCAAAGTTCAGTGGTTAGCCATACATTCAAAATTGATCGACACACCAAGCCTCTATACCCAGGATATGGATAAGGAGATTTATAGCTAGATCTATATATATCTATATCTCTCTATATATATGACAGTAAGCATATTAAACATTCCTTTTGTATTGTATTTTGATAAATGCCCCTGATGACTGAAGTGACTGACTTGAAACTGCTTGTCCTGTGAGTTTTGGTTTCACATTCATCACTTTTTTTTCCCAACTTTTTCAAAAGAATGTGGCCTGTCATTTTCTTAGTGTAAATAAAAATAACCAAAGTTAAGGTTATGACCTTTCAGGGTCTAATTATACACTTTGCACTTACACAGTACGTTATAGTTTCAACAGTTTTGTGAATGTGTTTATAAATGATTTATGTTATACTTTAGTAAACAAGGAATAGAATGATGTAACAGTTGAGAAAGATTTTAAAAAACATGATAGAAAACAAGTGTTAAAATGTCCACAGTGATGTTCTGGACTGGGTAGGTTCTCAGTTTTTGTCACACTTAATCTCATTTTTTGAAGCTTCATCAAAGTTTTCCACGAGATCTGAAAATATAAAAGCACTTACGTTAGTGATGTGTGTGATGAAGAACATTTTGTTTCATTTTTATGTTCATTTTTATGTCTGCTGACCAGGAACTTCATCATCCTCTTCTGCAGCAACAAGTGGAGCCTTGTTATCGCCGTCTGGGGAAACAATCAACTGTTTAACACAACAAATTCACATGTATAACGTAACAAAGACAGTATATAACGGCATGACACGAAGAATCAAAAATAAGATTAGGGGGCACAAAAATCTGGTCAACATAAAGCATAATTTGATAGCAAAGTTGACTTTGCCGGTGATTACTGAGAATAGAACAAACAAATTTTGGACAAAACTAGGGCTGGGCGATATGGATAAAAAAATATATCTCGATATATTTTGCTATATCTCGATATATAAGGAGCTCTGAGGTTTTATCCCACAATCCACTGCAGATCAAACCGAACGTTTCCAAACACTATTGTACAAGTGACACTGCAGCAGATTATTCATTAAAATCTTCTGCATAAATAAACTTTACATTGCTAAAACTTTACAAGATATAAAGCATAACGACTATAGAGCCACATCAGCCCGTTTGCAATAATAATGTGTTTAATGCAGTTTTGCGCACGTGTGTTTACATTTTACAGAAACGAAACTTAAGCGCATGGCTCATTTGCTTCTTTCGGGCTAAAGGACTCGACTCGGTGGAATATGAGGATGTGCTGATGATGGTTTTGTCTGTAAATGGTGGAAAAGGTTCGTGGTGCTTGAAGCTTTTCACTGGCACCAACTTTCGGCGTTCACGGTGGTAGTGAGGAGTGAAGGAGGCACAAGCAAACAAAATCAGGGAGGCGGCGGTGCGGAGGCGACGAGAGAGAAGGTAAACAAGCGAAGCGGCGAAATCAGAATTGAATATAAGCATTATATCGATATATACGATATGTCAGAATTCATATCGAGTTTAAAAACTATCTCGATATATTTAAAATATCGATATATCGCCCACCCCTAGACAAAATTTATTTTATTTTAAAAAATTATACCAAAAATAATCCAAGTAGTATTAACTAAAGGAAAAAAAATAGACAAAGCAATAGTTTTTTTGTCAGACAGGTGTGTTTGTTTACCTGCTTTACATGTTTATAATACCACCACTGAGAGGCCATTGAGATCCGGAAATTAGGTCCAAGGAGCATAAACTGATGAAGTGTACGGCCTTATCACACTTCTTACAAATGCATCAGAGGCACTTTTAGAGGGCACTGCACCCACAGGATGCAGATGAGGAAGGTTATAGGACATAACCGAAACATCTAAAGCAGGTAAACAAACACTTCTGACTGACAAAAATAATAGCTATTAATCTATCTATATCTATAGCTATAAAATGATTTAAAATTAACTGTCCATAAAAATCCTGAATATTCAATTTTCCTTTCTCTTTCTCCCCCTGACCATCACTGAACTGAATCACTAAAATACCACTTATATTTAGAATACTAATCTTAGTTAAGACATACAACAAGAAAAGATACACCACAAGACAATGGTTTAGTTTTACAAAAAAAGGAACCTTCACAGTAAAATTAAATGAAGATATTGCTCAAATAATAAGAATCCTTTACACTTATTTATTTTGGTATAGATGGATTATTTGTTCATTAACACAGAGGATGCACGTGCATCTTAAGAGCAGAAAGCACCACTGTATGCATGGCCATCATTAAGTGCTAAATTAACAGTGAATGGGATATGTCTTATGACCTTTACGCATTAAATGCAGGCAAGTGTGTAAATGAGAAGAAATGGTCTAAACTTCAGTGACCGGACATTTATTCAAACTTGATTGATGCACCTAGCCTCTATACCCGGGACAATGTCTGGGTTTGGGCAGAGGTTTGGAGCTCTGGGTTAGGCTCCACATAATAAAAAATCTGATATTTTTGTAGCCTTGGAGGTTAGCAACTTAAAATGTGAGGTAGGGTGTAGGGTGTTTTTTTCATGTTTACAAGACTTTCTAAAAATCTGTTTTTAACTTTCTAATGTGGGATAACAGTGTTATTTTTAATACAGTGTTTTAATACAATGTATATTTTAGTTAGGTGTCCAACTGCCTGTAACATAATAAAATTGAAGGATATGAACATGGCAGTGGTGGAATGGTTAAAACATTTGTTGATGAATTTTTGAATGAACTGTATGTTAGAGTTATACCCATTTTAGGTAGGGTCTCCGCCAATCTCCTCAGATTGGTTAAACTTTCAGCTCCGAGTTGGTGTAGAATTCCTGGCAGCATCTCGGTCAGTTCTTTGTTTTCAGCATGCCCTGTGACAGTAAAGGTGTTGGTGGAGAGTGAGGCTTGAACCTTTGGGTTGTTGAAGTGAATTACTGTTCCTTGATTTGTGAACATATTCACCTGAAATACAGATAAAGGAATAAAATTAAAATGACATCTTCATCTTCAATCTTCAAGATGAGAAAACAATTGTCTCTAATGTAGATAATTACTTCTTCAATCCCAGAGATGCTGTTGACCCCCAGTTTTTTGAGTGACAACTGCAGTTTTTTGTCATCAGCTGTAGTTGTTCTATGGACCAGCTTCTTCTTCCTGCGTGCAGATCCCTATACACAGAAAATACAAAAGTCCACTTTTACAGAAAAAGTGAAACTTAAATCAATATATATTTTTTTTTTTTAAATTGTAAGATTGAATTGTTCCTGACCTTGCCACCAATGCGGACTTGAGCCTGCAATTTGACAAGCTTCTCTTGGTTCATTATCGATTCCTTCATCTGCAGAAAAAAAGGCAGTGATAAATTAAAAAAAATGTGCCCTAATTAAATAGTGTGTAGTTTTAACATAACATGGACGAGGAAGAAGAAGTAAAAGGTCAATTCTCAGTGCGTAAAATGTATGATGTTAAAAAGATTATGATCTGACTCCGTGACAATTAGATAATCCAGAGTGTTGGATTGTGATAGTATTTGTTATTTTTTTTAAGCAGTTTAAACAGACAAAAAGACACGTGTCATCTGCTACTCACGCACTTCTCCTATGGGTTCATAATTTCCAATCCGAGTGACAGGCAAATTTGCCAGTTACAGTGAAGTGTACAGTCTGAGGAAGTTGGCTTTGTTACAGGGAATGAGACTATTTAAAAGGGCACAAAGATTTAAATTTCAAGTGTGACCTATGCTTAATTTTCTTGCTCTTTGTTATTGTTGCCTAATGTGGAGATTTCTGCGTCCATGTAATTTCCCTTGTGGATCAAGTTTGTCTAAATCTAAAATATATATTTTTATTTAAATTTTACTTTTTGACATATTTTCATTCAACACTGATAAGAATATCAACAGTCAAGTCAAGTCAAGTAGAGCGAGGAGGTATTACAGATAAGCTATCACACTTGGCTACTTGCACGGCAGCAGCCAATAACTACAATTAAGGTTCAACTATAAGTTGGGAAAGTATAAAAGGGTACACAGTTTTGAAGCCACGCACAAACGGGAGTAAACTACACTCATGCTGTCCCATGCTATAAGCGTACATTATGTGCAAAAGTATAAAAGTCATACCTGGGAGTGGGACTGTAAACACGCGGACCACGCACAAGACCAGAGCAACACAAATCGGAAGTGACGTAAGGCGTGCTAGTTAATTTATATATTTTTTCTTTCTGACAACCTTACATTTTTGGAAAAAACTTTCTAAACAATAAATGTTTCAGAAAATAATCAAGGAATCTGGCGTTTGAGGGGTTAATGGGGAGGATATGAGAGGAAGTAACGATATTTACGGCACAACACCGGAAGTTGCCGACACTGCAGTAATGGCGGCCTCCTATGAGCAAAGAGGCAACGTGACAACTCGCTAAAATGTGGATTTGTCACTATAGAGACTCATTCAAACATTTGTGATACGATTATACGTTTCACGAACATCTTTGTTTTATGCGTAAGTAGTCTTTGTAATCGTGACTCTTAAAACTTGCGAGTAAACAGTGGACATGTAGTGTTGCCGTTGGTACTGTGTTATGGAGTTGAGTTTTGCCTCAATTTAAGTCTTCAAATTATTCCGTTTACACATCTATCAGTTAGATTTGTCATAACTCGGCTCCTAACATACTACCATTGGCAGTTTATGCGCGGTGGGTCCTTTAGTGATCGTGTATCATGTTGTGTAATAATGTGTAAATCGAGTTATGCGCATCTTAACTAGTGATTTCTAAATGTTCTCTTTACAGCCTCCTAACATTTTGTCGGTTTAATATAAAAACTAAGATGTCTTCATTTAAACCCACACAAATACCAGTGTATCCCAAACTTGGAGAAAAGGTCACTCAAGAAACACTTTACTGGAAAGACTATAAGGTTGGTATAAAATAATGACTTGCTACTTTCTCTTCCTAATGTCAGTCCTCATTAAGATGTTTTATCTGTTTTTAGGCACCAATTCAGATAAAAGAGTTCGGAGCCATCACCAATCTTGATTTCTCTCCTGTGGCACCACATAATTTTGCAGTGACAGCATTCACCAGGGTAAGCAAAGTCTGTTTGTCAAATTTTCTTGCATAATGGCCTCTACCAATAATGTTGTTTAACGGTTTTAGATCCACATTTATGGACCATTTTCCCAAGAGCCAGTGAAAACATTTACTAAATTCAAAGACAATGCATACTGTGGAAGGTTTAGGTCAGATGGCCAGCTTCTAGTTGCAGGATGTGAGGATGCAGTGGTGCGACTTTTTGACGTCAGTGGGAAAGTCGCTCTCAGAATGTTTAAAGGACACACGAAGTAGGTTTCTATGAATATGTATTATATTAATGTAGTTATATAGTAATCTACTTGGTGTTATCAGTCTAATAATCCACATTACTTTTCAGGTCAGTGCATGTCACAGATTTTACTTCAGACCGATATCAGATCCTCACAGGATCGGACGACTACACCTGTCGGCTTTGGGACATCCCGAATTCCACTGAGCTTTTATCTTATCAAGAACACACAGACTATATTCGCTGTGGTATTACAAGCAAACATAACAGCAATGTTTTCATAACGGGTGAGAAACAAGACATTTGTTTTTAAATGTATAATTTTCATGGTCCATAGAATTAAGTCCAGCTAAGATTTATGCCACAGAAATGTCTATATAACTAGGTCTAATGTTTTTTTCCAGGATCATATGACCATACATTGAAGGTCTTTGATACCAGAACAGATAAGAGTGTGCTTTCCATGGATCATGGTCATCCAGTGGAAAGTCTCCTCCTTTATCCCTCAGAAGGACTCCTTGTTTCAGCAGGTAAGCATATGGCATCTTGACTACAGTTTTAAGTCACTGCTGAATGCTGCATGTAGTTGCTGTTCGTGAATGAGTCTACCACCAATTAATGTAGTTGTTTATTTCCCAGGAGGCCGCTATGTTAAAGTATGGGATCTACTGAAGGCTGGCCAGCCACTTGTGTCTTTGAAAAACCATCACAAAACTGTGACATGCTTATGTCTCAGCAGTAATGGGCAGAGGCTACTCTCTGGTTCACTGGACAGGTGAACAACCCAGCAATCATTAATGTAACTTGAGTTAAAATGTCCTTCATTCTTAATAACTGTTATTTTACAGGCACATCAAGGTGTACAATACAACAACATACAAAGTTGTTCACAACTTTGACTATGCTGCCTCCATTCTTAGTCTTGCCTTGGCTGTAAGTATTCAGTGTTGATTTTGTTGGACAGTACGTGGATGTGGCATATCTTTTGGACAGTTTGTGACTTTACATTTTATATACAATGATGATTTCTTGAGTGATCCATCAACTGATTTATGATGATCTCAAGATTCTGACAAGCACAATGCTACCCTAATATCGTTAGCAAGGTTCAGCAACTTTTTTTTTCATAGATGATTTTCAGTAGATCTCTCTTTTTTTTCCCCTAACACATTTCTAGCCAAATGATGAGTCAATCGTTGTGGGTATGACCAATGGGATCTTAAGTCTCAAACACAGAAAAGGCCCTGAAGACGCTAAGGAGGGTGTTAGTCAGCAGAGAAGACGCCCTTCATACCGTGTCTTTGTGAAGGGAAAGAACTATGTGCCCAAACAGGCAAGTGACAAATAAACAAAAAAATAAACTCCAGGATATCACAGCTTTCCATTAAGCTTTAGACTTATTTTACTGTTTTTTTTTTTTCCAGGATGACTATCTTGTTGGTAAGCCACTAAAAGAACACCTGGCCAAGTACGATAAGCAGCTGAAGAAGTTTAATGTGTCTAAGGCATTGGATACAGCTTTGGAGGTATAACTATTACTGTATAACTGTGCTTTTACTATTTTAATAGGTGGAAAAATTAGTTTTAATTGTCTGACAGAATTGTTCTTCCTAATTTTACTTGTGCACATCTTAGACATATATAAGAACAAGAAAGCCAGAGATCGCTGTAGCTGTTATAAAGGAGTTGGACCGAAGGGGGAAGTTGAAGAATGCTCTAGCTGGAAGAGACGAACAAGGGCTTTCACGATTACTTAGCTTTCTCATTGGGTAAGTATTTGTTGTTATTCCTCACTTTTCATTTTTAGCATCCTAATTATTCCATGCGATGAGGTTATTGGCGCATTTCCCAACTTTCAGAAGCTAGAAGAGTTTTGTAATCAAGGTAATGCTAACAAACATTAGCAGCACACTTCTTGATTTTCAGAAGATAAAATGGTTTATAGATTCAAACAACACACATTTTTTAACTTAAAGAGCCTATGAAAGGTTAGAAAAAAATTTATTTTGTAATGTAAATTGTGTCGAACTTTTCGATATAATTCTCCCCAGTGTGATGTCACCAATATTTGTTTACAGTTCTAGTTCCTGTCATTAAAATTGCATCTTAATTGTTGTAAAAAAAAATATCATTTATATTTACAATAGTTATACTTCCACCAAATTAAGTAAAAATCATAAAAGTCTGTCTTACGTACTTTAAGAGCTGCTTTTACAATATGTTGTACTATGTATTGTACAGGGTCAAATGCAACCACTTACAGTAAAATTGACATCTATTAATAGTTGTACTCACTAATGCTTGTTTGTTGTAATGTAGGCACTTGGTGAACCACAGATTTGCACCAGTCCTTGTAACAGCAGCTGATATGATCCTTGACATCTATCGGTCAACCATTGGTCAGTCCCCAGTCATTGACCGTCAGCTGCTGCGCTTGCAAGATCTACTTGAGCGAGAGATTGACTATCAGCAAGATCTCCTGGAAGTACTTGGCATGCTTGATGCAATGTTTGCTTGCTCCCTTCCCAAAAAAGAGGTACCAAGCTCCAGTATCAGCAGACAAAATGGCCTTGCTCAAGGAGAACCAAGTACTACTGTCCCACCTCAAATTCAGGCTTCGTGAAGAGAACTCAGCTATGGGATACAGTGGCATTTTCTAACTGGACCCATCTGTGTAGGGTATATCATCGACTGATCGGACTTCATATTTGGACACGTTTTTTGATACAGCTGTACAAGTGATATTTTAATATGGAATTGTATGAATGAAGCGACTGTGTGTCAGTGATCTCTATTCAAATGTTTTCATAAGCAATTAAAAATATGTTAAGGTAATAGGCTTGCACAATAGTTGTCTGTGTGATGACTTGAGTACATTAAAACCTGGATTTGAGAATCTTTGTTATTGTTACGCTGAAGAGATTCAAAGCTATGGCCTATTGTGAAAAATGTGTAACTTTTTTGGTGGAGGGTCCACCACCGTCATGTTCCTGCAGAATGCATGATTTACATGATTTATAAGCATTTCCTGTACCTATAAACACCTGTAATTTAATAATAAATACATGTCAGATAAAACAAGCAACAAACCCCTCGCCAAAATATAAAACCACGCTTTTAACGAAGCAAAACATTTCTTAGTTTTATATCAATCCACGTAGGCCATCTAGAGACCAGAGAGCAACGTGACCATACTGGGATCTTGAGAATGTGCTTCTTGTATGTTATTTATTCTCCATCCACCCGAGGGCGCCAAAGTTTCCACAGGTCAGTCTGTGGTCGGAACGAGGAGGAGGATCGTGATTGGCCAAATGATCCATGTGCAAATGATCGAGCCATGGGTCACTCAGACTCAGAGAGAGGATGCAGCTGTTTGCCACTGGTCGACGTCTTTCTCTTCACGCCATCCATTAAACCTGTAGCTTTCAGTGGCTCACATGGTCGTCCATGAGCTGTTGTTGAAGTGGGCTGTTTCAGATTTACTAAAAGGTAGGTGACCATCATGGATTTGTGTTTTAGCCAATAGTTTATTTCCGTCAAAGTTTTGTTATTTTAGGAATTCTAGAGAGGACAGGAGTCTTTTAAGACTTGATCCACGAGGAGATACTTAATTTAATGTAAAATCTTTCTGTTGACCTAGGACGAATTATTATGTTTTGTTTTAACCCTCATTTTGATTGGACTTGTCTTCTGCAAATCTGACCCATACTGCCCGTAGGTTATATATTTAGTGAAGTGTATTGTACATTACCAAATAAGTTAATTATTTGGATTTCCCCTGTCTTGTCTGTGGATCTCTGCTTTTTGGCAGAAGATTAAGTAGGCTATCACAAACTCTTCAGGATTAGAGAGATTAGAGATTGGCAGGATAATAAGTAATGAAGAGTCACATGGCCTTGTTTTCATTTATGACTTTCATTTTTTTCCTGTGCAGCTGAGCTCTAATGGAGCTGAGCAGAAGGAAAGTGCCTCTCTATGTAAGTATTAACATTATTTAACCTCAATTTATAAAAAAAAATAAGAATTGGACAAAGCAGTAAATGAAGGTTTACTGGTCATTTTTGTTGTGTTTTTGTTGTTGTTGTTGTTGTTGTTTTTTTTGGCAACAAGTGTTGTTCTGCATAAAGGTATAAATAAGCGAGGCTTATTTTTCCACTTTATGACATTTCATGAATACATTTTCTATGTTAGTATACTTGACTTTTTTGGTAAATTAGGGCAGTGCAACAGGAGTATTTTTGTTGACTGGGCCATGAAAGATCTCTTCTATGAGGCCTTGTTCTGATAAGATTTGCTGTAAATAATAATGTATTTACAGTGAAAGAAATAGTATCATTCATCAACTCCTTTCACTTGGTGCTCTTACTAAAGTAGAGTGCTATATAACTAGCAAATGAGTAACCATTTCATTCAGTGGTGTTTTTGTATACTTTTTCCTCTCAGTTGAAACTCATTGTGTACTTGCTTTTTGTGCTTTTGAATAGTTGTATGTATTATCCAAGGTTTGGCTGTATAAAGAAGGCGTGACAATACTCAAATCTTTTTCATTTGGACTGGTTTCGAAAGTTTAAATATTGATGTTTTGGTAATTGACAATAGAGATGATAAATACCTACAGCATAAGTTAATCTTATCTCATAATAAAATAGTATAAAAAATTGGTTGATTGATTCTGAATACAGGTTTTTGAACTGAACAGTATTTGTGCGTGAATAAAGAGAGGGAATGAGAAAAGCACTCAGTTTTACAGCTTTGGAAATCAGGCCATGAGCTAAGGGAGCAGAGCTAATCAAGAGGATCTGATGAAGAACTGTCTGTACATTGTGTTAACCAGCTACACAAATCTGAGTTGGTCTGGACTGTTACTAAATATAATAATAAATTTGCCTTCTCTTTTCTCTGGTCTCATTCTGCTGGTTTCTTTGGTTTACAGTGTACATAGTAGGGATGTTTGGTGTTTAATGTTTTATGATAAAAGAGGAAACCCATTGTCATTTATGATTTTACAATCATCGATACTATTAAAAAATAACTCTTCTTCATTCAAAGCTTCAGTTAATTTGTTTATTTACATAAAACTCAGTACATGCTCTAGTTTATTAGAAAGAATTGAGAATACATAAATAAACCAAAAATATAAACGTGATTTACAAAGTATATTTTTTTATATGATGGGTAAGTAAAATTTTACTTTGTTTAAAATGCTTTAGTGGAGATAAAAATTGAGGATCAGAATAGGTATTTGTTCTTGGTATAAAACATTCCTGTGTTTATTGAAGAAAAATGCTTTATTGCTCTCCTAGGAGCAATGCTTTTGTGGGATTTTGGTGCTTCACACAAATGTAAAATTCCGCATTATGGAAAATCCTTACCCTGAAGTCTGTTCAGATATTCCTTTCTTTATTTGCGTTTTATCTGTCTTTTCATGATAGGGCCAAGCCAAAGTGTTCACTTTGCTGGAGGGGCTGGACTCAGTGCCAGAGGATGCAGAGGTCTATGTGGTACTGGAAGGATCCACTCTGGTCCATGTGACCAGGGCTCACAGCGATATCATGCTCTGCTTTATCGTCCCTGGTATGTGCACAAGTCCTGTGTAGCATTTGCTCCACACCCAGGGGAGGCTCCACACAATTTTTTGGTTGGAGGAGCTATGGGGGTGCTAATATGGGTGCTCACTTAACTTAATTTAGAGCTTCAGTGGAGCACACCCTCACCCCCTATCATGTTTGCTTTTTAAAACGACATTAAATTTTGTTAGCCCCATAGTGATTTTTAAACCCTAATATGGAATTACGTTCTGTGATGAACGTTCTGTTCTACTACTAAAAAATGAGTTGAAATTGAATGTGCTATAAAAGCGGGGCAAAAATCTTTGGGGGCTTATGAAGGAGCATTGGCCATTCTAGAGGAGGCTAGTGCCCCTTTAAGCCCCAACCCTTATTCTTGGCACAGTGCAGGCACTTATTATCAGTATTATTTTGCCTGGTTATTTTGGGGATCATGACATTAAAGGTTTGAGGACCCCGATATAGGGAATATATCGTACTGAGAGGAGTTACATCTTGCAATTGCTAAAAAGATGCTTACGCTTTGTTTGTTTGAAATACAAGCACTGTTGTTGATCAGTATTTCTGAGGAGTATTCTGTCACTGGTTCCATTCACACAAACACGTTTTCTGTGTCGAGATCTGGAAAGGCAGAATCTTATCAGCTTCCTGTAGGAACAGACCCACTGACAAATGTATTGCCATTACTGGACTCTGCAGAGACAACACAAGCTTCAAACTGCTCTCCTGCTGCTGGGCAATGTCTAGTTTATTCCTTCAGGATATTTAGACCAAAAGATATGTGTGAAGATAATGAAGATGGAAAAAAAAACTCTACTGAGACTGGCCATTTCAGATAATGTCATTACTATATAAAAATTAGCCTTTAGAGCAATCCGTCACACTTCCCTGTACTGTACACTGTGATCTTTGTTCTTGATTAAACTAAATTGTGTGATAAATCATGCACAAATAAAAACAATAATATTTACCAAATTTTTACTACAGAGGCATTACTTGATAGCTTCGTTTTTTTACTCCATGGAAACAGTCAATATTCTTCTGAATTCTACTCTGTGAATGCACTACTCATTGGTTTGTTTATTCAGTCATGTGATGCAGTAATTTGAAGTTAGATTCCAATTAGTTACTATGAACAAGTGTGCAGACTCTAATTACATTACAGCCAGCATCATTATCTTGTGTTTTTCTTCTACAGGTCATAACATGGCAGAGATGGTGTCTGTTCAAGCATACTTGTTCTCAGAAAGTACAGGACTCATGTGGGTAGGCGGGGCTTCACTGGAGTATGTACAAGATGATGCCCAGGTACAGTAAAGAACATTTAATTAGTGTTTTTCAGATTCTACTATGTGGTGATGTCATACTCTCAGATAGGAGGCACGACACAGCTTTCCCTATTGATTATTTTGTACTTTGCCATGAAATATCAGAAACATAAATTTCCAAATATTGAATCTGATCATTTCTATTTTTGACTAGACCCAAAACATCCTCTATAGCAGCAAAAATCTGCAGTTTAACAATAATTATTTTAGCTGTCGCCCATTTGTATTAAATAATATTGGCCTTTAGAATGTAGTCTTGTAATCTGAAAACCAGCAATATATTGCAATTAAAGTGACATTATTGTGAGATTTTAGGTGGGCGGTCCAAAACCTTGTAATCTCTATGGAAATGTTGTTTTGCCTGTAATGTTCCACAAAATTGCTTCAAACCTGTAATTTAATAAATAATGAAAGATAGATAAGTTTATACCATACTGCTGGACATTCCTGCAATAGCATTTTCATGAGATGAGCTGGAGACGGACCCTTGATGAGAAAACTTACCTTTAAGACTACAGTTGTGAGCTTTCTTTTTTCTTTTTTCTTTTATGTATTGTTTTATGCATTTGTGTCATTTGTTTTCATGTTTATTATCAATGTATTGTTAAATGTTTTATTCTGTTGTTCATAATAATAAAAAAAGTATGTTTGTATCTGTGGGTTCCAGAGTGACAAAAATGAATAATGCTGTTGTAGAAATTAACAACTCTAAACAATATATCTTTTGAATGATGAAAAGTGTGTGAAACCCATAAATATGCTGTTCTTTTCGCAGGACCTTGCAGAGCACCTGATTATCCATGGACATCGTCTCCGAGCCACAGATCATGAGGAGCTGAGCAACCTCTTCAGCCTGGGCCCGGGGAGTTCACGCTGGGCTATGGATCGCTGCATTGCTCTGGCTATGGCCAACTTAGATATTCCACACAGCTGGAACGTGCTGGGCAGCCAAAGCGGTGAGTGTGAGAACCTACTTAAATATGATTTATGTTAGTTATGTTTGTGGTGTTAAAACCCTAAAACTAAGGGTTAAGGTATGTGTATTTGCAGGTGAATTTACCAACTTTAGTTTTAGAAACATACTCCAACTTTCTCATAAAATGTAAACAACAACGATGCACTTTTCAACCCAGCCTCTGCTTTCCCACCTCTGTGCTCCAGGCCTTCATTCCCCTTTTCCATGCTTGAGAAATCGGAAGTGGACATCGTCATATGTGTATTTCTGTTGAATTCATCAAAGCTAATTAAGCAGGGTATAATGCAGTTATTAGAGCCTTTCCTTCTGGAAATAACCCTAAGGGGAACTCAATCAATCTAAGGCCAAGTGTGTGTGTGTGTGTGTGTGTGTGGTTGGTACTGTACAGAGCAGCTTGTACCAATCTGTCCAGTGTTTATGTCGAACCACCTACATAAATAACAAACTTGATTTTGGGTTAATACAATTAAGGCAGTCTGTTTCGAGGCCATGTCTCCTTCTAAATGTCTTCAGTTAATCTCATAACCCTGCTTATGACATCAGTGTATTGCTGATAAAGTAAAATCTCCATTCAATCTCTGATGTTGGCTCAAATACTAAATGCTTTATCTTTTATGTGGTACACTGGCATTTAACAGCAGCGTTTACAAGTCAGAGGTAACTCTCAAGACTTATCAGTGTCTTAAAAGTCTCAGTGTTGAAACTAAAGTAATTGCTTTAAATAGCATGGATTTTTAATGCCTAATGGGCATTGTCAGATACTGTCCTCTTTGTTGAATTGATTTATCTAACTGGGTTAGTGGGGCAGTAGAAGCTATAAAAGTGAAAACATTTTTGGCAGGTAGGTTAGCAAATTCTTTACTCATTTTGCAGAAACATATCCCACTATAATAACAAACCCTGTCTGTATGATGTTCTCTGTAAATGTTGCATTCTAATGCTGTTTTACACCAGTTACATGACACAGTGTATACCTAATGTGTTTTTCAGAACATAACCGGAGAGAGTCTCCTCTGCACTTGGCAGTAAGGTTTGGTCTGTGTCGATTGGCTGAGCTGCTGCTTTGTCAGCCTGGGGGTCTAATGGCCATCAGCCTGCCCAACGAAGAGGGGGTCACACCTCTACAGCTGGCACAGACCACAGGAAACTCTGAGCTTTTGGAGCTACTTACACAGTAAGATATTTATCCATGACTGCCAAACTAATGACAAATTCTCTCAACTGAGAAATTCTATCAATTTCTTAAGTCTATTGATGAGCTAGTTATGTTATGGTCACATAAAAAGCTCTGCAGCTGTTAGTACAACCTGTCAAACTTAAGAATGTTTTGGGCTAAATCGTCTGGGTTCAGTGAGGAATCCATAAATCTTGAACACATGTACATGACATGTTAAGTCTAAATATTGAATGACAGACAAAACAATAGTCAGTATACCTTCCAGCCTTTTACACATGTTGAACAAAGTAAGTTGGATTAACAGTAATTTGAATTTTATTAAACAGGTTGATTACTAGTATTTTGTTTGGTCCTGCAGCCCACCCAACCCGCTGACCACACCCCCTGCAGGACTGTCCCAGGTGTGGGCTGACCACTCACGCCTGCTCAGGTTTTGTCACGATACAAAAAATCTGACATTAACAGTTCGTCAGAACCTGAGGTGGAGCTCAGAGGAAAGCCGACATGCAGATATACTACTTCTGCGAGACAGGCTCCATGATGAGGATTTCCTGAGAGAGGTGAATCAATTACAGAATTCAGAACTAATTAGAGTCAGAAACAATATACTGGTATATGTTTTTAATTTGTTGACTATATTTTTCTTTATATTATTATGTCTCAGATTATGGCATTAAGAAGGGAGAAAGTGGAGTCTGTCTTGGAGAAGGAACAACTTGTGGATGACCCTGTGGAGAATGGTAAAAATCATATTCATTTACCATGACTACAAACTGATGTAGCTGTAGCTGTTAAAAGATAGTGTTGTTCATGATTTAATCATACGAGAGAAGCATGATAAATGTTTTGAGGTTTGTTGATTTTGGGTATCTGATCATAAGCTTGTCGTTTTTATTATGTGACTGCGTTTTCTTTTTCTTTTGCCGCAATAGTGGTGGTTTTATGCAGGAGACACTGCCCTCTTGTGTAGAGTTTTGGTGTTGCAACACAATTGGGCAGACGGAGTTGTATTGCTGCATATTTTATATTAAGAACGAAAACAAAAATAATATCACAATTTTAGTTACTTTACTTTTATTACTACTTTCACGTGTATTTTTCGAGACTAGCAATGGCTAATAGTGAATCAACTTGTAGATACCACTTGGCTTAACTTGTATTTCTTTATTACAGCCCTGTATCCTGATATTGAGGAAGGAAACATGGTTCCAACAAAGAATGAGGATATATTTGTGAGTATGAACTTGTTTCTTGAGTGTTATTGTAAGATAAATGACAACACTATCTCCATGTATTTCCTATAGATATTAACTTATTAACATACTGTATGTTGTCTAACGGCGGATTTACACTGACTGCAAGAGCAGTGCGGGACTTGTCATTAAAAACAATGCACACTGATACACTGGAAGAGTGTGGGTGAGGCACGGGTCTATGGAAAGAACCCAAAAGAAGGCTATTTTTCCCCCAACACAGCAGCAGTGTGGTCATCAGATGAGTGTTGTGTGAATGTGAAACTTGCTTTGGTCAAATACGCACCACAGTTGTCGTAGCAAGCAACCCGCTCAAAGTACGTGCCAGACCTGCAGTTAGTGTGAGCCCGGCGTCAATCCAGGTGCTATGCTTTTCCTTTAACTGCCAAATGTTGCTGTTTTGGCATTAAAACAGCGCTCTGTCTCACATTAAAAAACAGCCCTGTGCGTGTTTCCCATTTGGAGAGTGTTGGTATTTTATGCCCCACAGATGGTGACCTAAAATTGTTCTACTCTCTCTCATATCATTATAACGTTTGCTTTTTGTTCCTTGTTTCCTGCTCAGGATTATGAGGAGTCATTAATGTTTTCCTTAAATGAAGAAAACGAAGATGATACACTGCATTCAGACTCAGGTAAGAATTGTACATTTTGAAAACTCCTAGTTGTAGAGTGTCAGCCTCAAAACTGACATTCTGGGTCAGAGTCAAGAAACTCAAAATGTTATCACACATTCAGCGTTATCAAAAGTTATTTACTGAAACAAATTAATTTCACATTAATATGTACAGTCCAGTGCCTATAAAATACATGCTGTTTCATATACTGAGATTTGTGTTGCAGTTAAAAAGGGTGCACACATTTTACGCAAGGAACTTTAAGGATTCTGACTCGTTCATTTGGTAAATTTCACTTTTACACATTTAGACATAATAATTGAAGATGATAAACATTCTACAGGAACCACTTAAATGTGCAGAACAACCAAGTGGGGCAGACGATCACCTTACAGTCAGTACTTTGGCAATTGGGAATATTCTTAGCTCAGCCCGAAATGATCTTTGTTGCTTTAGGTAGATAAAAACATTGCTTTCCTTTATTAAGTGATTGCAACAGCAGGAAACATGAGTGTGGAGTTGTCCAAACCTCAGCTATGACAATTCACCATGGAGAATCATATTTCACCTATGGCTTCTTTTCACCCCTGTTTTTGGATGTTCATTTTTGTACTAGAAACATTGTAACCACATCTGTCTAGCTGAGTCAGGTGCCAGGAGAGTTGTCACGGATCAGCTTGTCCACTCTTCCTTTGGGCGGAAAACAAGGTTTGGAGGGGAAAAATATTGCGGGTTAATAATTGGCTATAGCTGGTTCAGAGCAGACGGATGCTCCATTGTAAGAATGCTGTGGTGTGAATCTACTGACAGCTTTGGCTCTGGACATCTGTAATTATAATATATTGTGGCTAGTCTTGTGTTCATGGTTTAGACATTCTGTTTGCAAGTGTGTGTTTGTCTGCTGTTTTTGCTTCTCACAACTTTTTTTTTTACCCTTTGAAGACTGATGGTTTGTGACCACGATTGATCCTTCTGAATTTATTGTATGGCACAGACAAATAGGAGCTATGCAAGACATCCTTTGAGAAAAAACAGACTGAACAAGACTGAAGTTGTACAGTGTTTCAGACACTAATGTTCACTGAGGTTTATGCTGCTGCAAATTGTAGCACAAAAGTATGCAGAACAAATATTTTCTTTCATTTCAAGTTTTCCCACACTTTTCCAGTCATTCGGTCTTGCATGTAATTTATTGGTGGCATCTTCCATTTATGTGGCTTGTAATATACCTTAATACCCACTTTTTGCATGTTGCAGGATGTGCAGGATTTGATTTGGGCAATAAAACCTTTTATTAAAACAAAAAAATTGTCTTTCAATATTCAACTCATTATCATATCCAAGAGGAAAGACTTTTGGTCAGTGGAGCTTACCTAAAAAAAATCTATTTCATCTAAATTCCGTCAAAACAACAAACTCCTGATCCAAGTAACATGCTTTTGGCTGTACACCCTTTGATTACAATGCATTTAGCTTATAAGACTGGTCAGTATTTATCACAGTTTGATTGATCAGTCCTGATTTTTGATTCCTTTTTGTCTTATTAAACACTGAAAAATATCTTTCAGTCTTTATTTCCTGAACATAAACAAAACTTCAAACAATAATCAGTGCCATTTAGCACAAACGTTTGTCAAATTTCTTGCTCCAAAGTCTGAACTCTGTTCCAAACCACATGCTGTTACTGACGGAAAATTGGCTATAGACCATTGATGACTGAATCTCAATTAAAATTTGATTATTTGCACATGCCTACTTTAGCTTGTCATTTAAGATTTGAAACTACTGAATCTTTAAAGGCCCCATATTACACTATTTTCTGATCTATGTTATGTTGTTTTCTCATCACAAACATACCTGGTGTTATGTTTTGATTAATTCATACAAACACACAAATTCTGCATATGTAGGCAGAGTTCCTCTCTCAAACAGAAAACACGCTGTTCCACCTTGTGATATCATACGGTAATACAGGAAGTGCTCCACTGTGTTAACTTAATACAGTTTCATTAGAATAATTTTCATGATTTCTATTGCCAGTTTATACTGAACTAAAGGTAGAAGGTAGCTATTAATTTGAGAACTACTTCTTAATTACATCACAAGGTGGAACAAAGCATTTTGAGCCCTGGAGTTGTAGATAGACTAATAATGAAGGGTTACTGAAACATGTGTGAATGAAACACAACTCCACAACTCCAAGCATGTTTTTGATGAGGTAACAGCATTATAACATGGCTTAAAGCTCACAAGAATCAACTTTGCGTAAAATAGGACCATTAAAATTTGACTGTTGCACAGCCCTATGGTGAATGCATGTTGCATATGCTGTAATGAGGATGTAATAATGTTAAGCACTACAATGCGATTCACAAATGTTTTAACACTGCAGTTAGGTTTTTGAGCTAATGCGTCATTAAAGACACAGACAGCAGCTCAGCCCGACCACCTCAGCACAAGATGAGGAATTTAGAGTTTAGGTGCCATGTTCGCTCTGTCTGCTTGATGTCACTATTCCAATTCACCTTTCAGCTACACCAGTAAAAAGTACAACCCTTAATCAGTGTAAGCCCCCACCTTTGCCCTCCTGATGGCCCCAATATTCAAATACCCCACCCAAAGCACATGGTCACAGGCCTCCCCTGACTCCTCAGGCTCTATGTGTAATGTTACTTTAAAAGAACAAACGGAAAGAGTGGCGACATCATCCACGACAGTAGAATGAAAACTGTGTGTGTCCCTGTGCTGTGTGCCTCTGTATGTTATAGAGTTGTGTTGTCAAAGAAGTCCCAGGTACAAATCAACTGCGTTTGGTATTTATACTAAAAAGAATATTATCTTTTAGAATTATCAGTGTCTCTTCAACCACAGTATTTACAACCTTAAAGGGCACATTTTACTCTAGTTTCTGATCTATGTTGTTTCCTCATCAAAAACATACCTGGACTAGTGTTTTGTTTCATTTGCACATGTGTAACACATAAACCCTGCATATTTAGGCTGAGTGCTCCACTGTGCTCCACTGTGTTTATAAACTACATACACCTTTGGATGATTTCAGCCCTGAATTGCCTATCTATGTTGAACCAAAGATAAAAGGTAACTGTTAACTTGAAAACTACTCCTTCATGACTTTACAGAGCATTTTGAGCTTTAGAGATGTAAACAGCCCAAAAATGCAGGATTACTCAAACATGTGTGAATGAAACAACACACAACTCCAGGTATGTTTTTGATGAGGTAACAACATTATAACATGACTTAAAGCTCACAAGAGCCAGTTTTGTGTAATATGTGACCTTTAAGGTAGGATGTTACTGGGACTATATCTCTGTCATTACTTACAATCAAGATTAAGTGTGAGATTTCTGTATCTTCACAAGACAGGAGTCTTATCTAAGTTGAAAAGCAGATTGTGCCCAGGAAGTGTCTTGCTGCTGTGACAGTGCAGAGGTTTTTCGTTTTTCACGGATGAATGAGTGTTGCCAGAGCTTTAAAGGCAGTTATTCAGAAGCTTGTAGAGATTCTCAAAGAATAAGAGGGTCCTTCTTGTAACAGGGAGCGAAGCAGTTATAGTTTGGCAGGTTTACAGCAGACAGTGAGGTCAATGTTAACAGTCTTTAGCCCAAGATGAGCGGTTGAATTGGGGCATGGAAAAAGGGATTAAAGCTCCAGAGGTGTCATTATGGGTCTACTATAGTGGCCATTCACACATTTTCTAAGCTTGTTTTTAGGTCAGTATTTGCGTTGATCTGTTTTATATTTGCTGTATGAAGGGTTGTCTAAAAATCAATACTCAGACTATAGGTAATACTAAACCTATAAAACAGATATTAATTTGAATAGGTATTGATGCTAGGTACTGATATTTTGTTAGTTGAATTATATCCATAGAACCTGGGTTCCCTGAAAATATATGCTTTACATTCTTTTACAATACAACAGGCCAGTGTGTAGTAACTGTGCATGTTCTTGCTACTAAGCCCCTTTAATTTTATTTCTCCATAAACTTTATTCTATGTAATTATCTTTGAATCTTCTGCTTTCCATTCACTTGTTCTGCCACCACTCAGACTTTCTTGCCTCTCCAAATGGATATAGCAGCGAGCTGGCAAAAATAGGGAAAATTGTGGGTTAAAAAAAGAAAAAGAAAACTCTTGTCAACTCTAGTGCTGTCTCCATGGTGAGGCTGCTGACCTGGCAACATACTCCTCCCTGCACTCAAGGCCCATTCTGTGTGTCTCTGCTTGGCTTTCACATGCTAAATATAGAGCTCAGAATAGGCCCAGAATAGGCTGTAGTATTAAGGTCCAAAGTAGAACTAGTTCAGATCAGTCAAAACTAAATTCAATGGAGTTAATGGTGCATTGAGCAACCTTTCTGGTGGAGGGTCCATCATATGCTTTTCTCCATGGAGATGCTATTGCTTTGTCTAGAATTTCAAACTATTATATTAAATCTTTCTGTCTTCATAGAGTCCAAACCAGACCAGAAGTTACAGGTCAGATCTGGGGAGTGGCAACACTGCGCACAGTCAGAATGCCTGTTTTTCTAGGTATTTTTGGGTTTTAAAACTATACAATTCAATAAATGTAAGTTAGATCTGTTTAATGTCATACTGTGGAACATTCTAAGCAGAACAATAACATATCTATAGAAACAAGCAGATGATAGATCCTCCACCAGTTACACAATGCACCTTTTAAATCACATAAGCTTCCATTTTAGTGTAATTATTTCCTTTACCAAACAATACTATATCAGATAGGACTGGCTAATGTGACAAAAATGTTTCACATTTTTGCCTCATTAAAAACAACTACAGTACAATGGCTTTCAAGATTAATTTCTTGAACTTAAACTATACAGTGGTTTGGGTTTGAATATACTCAAACCCAAACCACTGCTTTTGACTGATCATTAGTGATTAAACATTGATTAATCTTGATCTTCCTAATATCTTATATATATATATATATATATATAGAGAGAGAGAGAGAGAGAGAGAGAGAGAGAGA